ACCCTGTTCCCTTCTACACACAGGTAGTAATGGCTGCCATCCAAGTCATATCTTATAGTATGTGCCCCATAATTATAAGATTTTTCTATGTAAAATACTAGATACATGAAAATAAAAAAAATCAATTTTAATTTGAGGTAAACTGAACTTTTCAATGTATATTTAATTTGCCTCTAAACCACAGTGAAAATTATTTTAATCATGTGATCAGTCTAGTGGCATGCTGAATAGTGTTTTGAAGCTGGGTTTAAAACACAGGGAACCTACAAGCTCAAAGTTTTTTTCCTGGTCTCTGACAAAAACACTTCACGAAAACTAGTTCTCGAATTTTACGTAGTCGTGAATTGCAAAAGCTGAAAAGTTCTGTATTACTATATGGAATGATTTAATCAGAAAAGTTGCTAGTATGACTAGATTAACAAGGCCTTGTGAATGATCACAGATATTTGGGCTTCATTTAAAGAAGTTTTGCAATTAACTCGCCGTCAAAATTGAAAATGAGAGAAAAAATCGGTAGGTGTCTTTGCATGTAGATTACATTTACCGTAAAGTCAATGTGTAGACCCATTAAGGTCCACTTTCACCTAAATCGGCATTGAGTCAGTTACATTATGCGCGATCATTTTGGACTATGCACTTTTAACATACAGAAAAGCTTCACGATAACGGCCTTTGTGAGGTTCACACCCTACCATAGGCTTAAATTTACCTGTTTTGTAGCCCCGATGGCTCCCGGTAAACTCTACAGGAATTTGACGACCAGGTTCGCTCTTCGGCAAATCTGCCATAAAGAGGTTTCCGCTTCTGCTTAGTCTGTGCTCGGGGATGTCCATTCGAGCGCACGCGCTGATTTCAATTGACTGTCCGGGAAGGTTGAAAAAAAAAAAGGAAAATCTTTTAGGATCTAAACTGAACATAGCACAAGGCGACTAGAAATGGATGGCGCGGGCTTAACTTATTAATTGAAAATTTAACTGCTTGGAATCCACGATTGAAAGTTAAATGTATAGTAAGTTTACCGTACCTCGACCATATTTGCTTTGTGACGGGTTTTTCTCCAAGCTTGATTTGTAGTCTCTAGTTCCTCTTGATATTGATCTTTGCTGATTGCAAATAGAATGGAAAGCTTTAGAATCGACCATCTATTTATACAGAAAGTTGAGGAAGTCAATTAGATGTTAAATTGACAGCAGGAAGTCTCCAGAGTCACGCTGTGTTCTTAGAAAATGAAAGCGTCAAATACTTGAGTGACTCGCACGGATTTCGAAATAAGCTGAGCTTTTATCGAGTAAGAATAGTTTCTATGGCTGCCAATTGAGCATACAGTTGGAAATGCTCGCGATTCTGTTTGAAGGAGAAGAGTGTTTTTCAAATAGTAGGAGAAAACAAGTCACGCAAGTTAAGAATCTACAAAAATTTGTTCAAAATAGACTTTTAAAGTTATTCTAAATTAGCTAGAAGATATTTCTTTAAGAAACTGAAAAATCGGAACTTTCCTTTTTCACAATGATGTTAGAAATTAGCCTCTCTAATTTATTCTTGTTCAAATAGAAGATGTATTTTGGGATCGTCACGCAACCGACTGCATGACATTCAGGTCCCACCAAAGAGAGGAATGTTTTACAGGTCAAAAGGGTCATGTTCAGTTCCGATTTTTACGCGCTGAATAAAACAATGGAGATTAGTTTTTTATTTTCGCAGTAAATCTAGCCACAGAAGAAGAAAATTGAAATCTATCTATGGAAGATTTCAAACACCTGAAAGATGCAAATGTGAATTCTGTTTGAAAATGAAAATATTGCATTAATCCTTTTTACTTAGTCTATTTACGGAATCTAGTCACATATGATATTCCAATTTCGCTCTCTTACGATTAAGACTAAGAGATTCTTAAATAACTAGTTTGTAAAAGCAGTCACGTAATGCATAATGTTACGATGGGAATGTTTTCAAGTCGCGTTTTTCAAAAATTTAAAAACTTGTTCTTGGTTACGAAGAATAATTAGACGGGACAGATGGAATCTTGGCTTCGGCATTTTGACAGGGAAGGGCGTCTAATCCAAGTTTAGCCAATATTTTGCAAGTTTTGAAAACCTGCATTTACTGTGATCACGTATCAGTTTTACGGTAATTAAACTTGACCTGATTGACGGAACTATCAACAAGATGGCATTTGTACCATTCGATTGCCGAATTACGAAGGAGATCCGTTCATTGCAGTTACCTTAATTATTGAAAAAAAAAAATCTGTTCAATGATTCTAGTTGTCTTTTTAGAACAATAGTTCATGACTGAGAATGCGTAATCGGGACGAGCCGAGGAAGAAAGTTAGAGAGTAGAACATCACTGTATGACAAGATTACTAGCTTAATAAACACTGCGGTTTGTTGATCCGTTTTTTTTTATACTTTGAAAGAAATTCTATAATTCTTCGAAGAAAAATAAGATACCATCATAACCAATCAAACCGAAGATAAATAAAGCAAGCAATTATGTATCATTTACCTGGTCTATGGCTCTTCAAGACATGCAAAAGCAAAACACATTCACCTTTTACTGTTTTCTTTACGTTTTCCTAACCTGGGCTACGGAGAAAGAAAAATGGAATTTGCAGTCTTCCGCACCTGATAAGCTTTCCGCAGAATGCTGCCTCTTACCTCGCCATCCTGTTCTTTGCTGCTGCACGGCTTTTTTTCCTTATTTTATTTCATAATTTTTATGCTTGTATTTAATGTTAAACTAAGAAAAGAGACCAACTACAACATAATCGCTCTCTGAGATGAGCAAGACAGTTCATTTACGCTTGACGCTTACATGACGCCTGATTTTTATGATCGCGCGGAGGATTTATACCTGATGGCGTACCTCACTTTGGTTTGCTGGCGTTCTTATACAATACTCAGTTACAAAGTTTGTTTTAAAATTGATATCGTTGATTCTTCACTCTTTTTTGTCACTGAGTTGTTTTTCCGAGGTGCAGTCGTGTAACAACCACAGCCCAAGAGATTTCTTGTCATTCCCGTCGTTTTCATAAAACTTTTTTTTATTTTTTGGAATGATCAAGCGTTCAGTGGTAAATATTAACCAGAGACACAGTTTTTTTTGCACTGCATGAAACGTCGGCTATGTAACTAGGAAACAACTAATTATTTATAGCAGGGGACTGAGCACTAGAAAGATCTATCAAAAAGCTAAACGAAAATTTTTTAGACCTCCTTCCAAGGAAAAGGAAGGAATTTTTTAACTCCTTAGCATGTTATGTAAAAAAATGAAAAATGAAAACCCCACGAACCCCACATGCAAGAAAGATACGCATTACATGTGAACGTTTATTTGCCAATCACTCGCAAAATCAATGGAAACTGCTGAATTACACTCCAGCTCACCCCCCAATATCAATGATGAATCGTCCTTAATATAAAGCCACTCTAGCTTTTAGATTCTTTTAATAATAGAAAATGAATTTCATACAGCACAAAATGAAATCAAACCATCTGACATGATTGTTCACATAGTCTCCTTGGAACTCTCCCCACTGAAAAATGTCATGTGATATGACCAAGAGCTAACATGAACATCTTGAGCAATTCACCAATTAGAAACTAATGTTGCTCATACAGATTCCATTTGTGAAAGCTTTTGGCACCCTCTGTGAGGCTTCTATTCTTAGCCCTCATACTCTCCATACTGTTCTCTGTATAGTTACTGAGGTGCTGACAAGGAGAATTTGACCAATGATCAAGAGATGCTTTAGTTGGTTATCATTTCCTTTATTCTCATGTCATTAATGTCTGATTCAGTGGTGATGTTCTAAGGAGAAACTAGATGCTAATCACTCTTAGAGGTGAAAGGGCTGATGTTTGCTTGGTAATAAGGCATAAACTTGATTTAACCCCAAAAAGGAATTTTCTGTTGAGGGTTGAAACTAATTTGGTAATGTATTCATTTGGTTTAGCCTTACAATGAACAGTGATCATGACAAGAAAACCCTCTTCTCTAAACCAATCAGACTTCAAATTGAAATAAAACCAATATTGACATGGTCACTAGCTATGATTGCGGCTACTCTTTTGAATAGCTGGTTAGATGCATCAGTCAATTGGAAGCTTCAACATCCCCCTTCCCTTGGCAACCCCCTGGCATTTATACTTTTAAAGATTGGCTTGTTCAAATACCACACCCATTATTGAACAATTCTTTGTTTGATCAAAAATTGTTGTAGAATTTAGCAAGGTCTATATTAGTTTTTAGCGCTGCTGTTGGGCTTTTTGCTCACAAGCATCACTCTATCATGAAAATATTGTCCTTTTAAACCATTTACTTACAAAAGCACACACTTTACCTTTTAACTCCTCCATCAAACATGTGTATTATATTGGAAACACATGACACTTCAAGCTCAAATGCCCCAACCCACCCAGGCAAGGTTTAAATTTCTCACCCCCCAGGCATGGATGACAATCAAATGCTTCTGGGTTGCCCAAGGAGGGGGGATGTTGCCCAAGTCTCCCTAACTTGCAGCCAGTGACATGTCTTTACCTTGAGTTCCCATTGACTGCTTACAATTTTTACCTTTTTTCAGAATCACTGTCTGTTTAATGATCATCAAAGATTGAATTCTATGCTACATAGGTTTGTATAGATGCTGTAGTTCAAAGTACAGTCTGGTTAAAATGGTTTGAAACTGGTAGTTTGAAATACATTTAAAAAAACCAATTTGGAATTATTTCATCTTGAAAAAATTGTAAATAACTACATATACACTTGTAAGTGTCTTTAAATGATCAGTACACAACAAACAATTTGGTGTATAAAACTTATTTTAATATAGAAATACTCATGGAGTACAACACATATTCTGGGTAAATACCAGGTACAATTTAAATTACTTAGAACATTTTAAGTTGTATTTTGCCACTTGAAGTTACTGTGAACAACAATGTGTCAGCAACAGTTAAGTAATACTTTAAAATATTAGTAGGCCTTCTACATATCAAGCTTTAAAAAATATACTGCATTATTTTATGAAAAATAGTCTAAATTTTAAAAAACAATTGAGCTTATTTCTTCTTCATTACATCTCAAAATGTTAAATGCTTATCAAAAGTATAATCCCAAAAACAAATAAATATACTCTGTTTAAAAAACAAAATAATAAATCTTTGAACTCCTAGTGCAAAATAGTTCCAAGATTGAAAAAAATTTTAAAATTCTCCTAACTTATTCCTCTACACATATTTTAAAATTGCAATTTATTAACACCTAACAAGCTTCAACTTGAGTTTGATACAGGACTGAATAGTCAAGACTTGCACCATCACAGTAACAACTGTGTAAGGTACTTTCTCTTTCCCTTTTCACTGTTTCCATGCAATGCAGATAAAACCATGCTTGTCTGTCTATTGGCTGACCATCAACCAATGAGGAGGGGTTGACTTCCTCCATAAATGCTTTGCCATCCTCATCACTAGCAAGGTACTTCCCAGTTTTTATTGATTTAATAGACATATAATTGCTGCTGTCATTTACATATTTAACTTCAAACATGTATTTTTTGTCATTGGGTTGTTTGGCAACCAGTTTCTAGAAGCAAAAAATGAAGAACAGAATAGATTAAATTTAAATTTAAAAAACTAATCTGAACACTGGTTCAAATCTACCATGAATAATTTTCCAGATTTAATTCAGTATACTCAGGATGAAAGTATATAAGTGGATGCAAAAGGCTTAACAGCTATGCCTTAAACCTTTCACTCCCAAGATCTGATTGTTAATTCTCCCCTCTGACTGCTACACTTTTCCTTGTATATTGATTACAAGAGTTTGTTGTTAGATCATGATAACAACCTCCACCTGATGAGTTTGAGTATTCTCAATACCTGTTTGCAAAATAATGTATGTATATCATAGAAAGAAGTTGCATGTTAATCATTTCTTGAAGCAAAAGGGTTTAAAGGTCTCCATTTTTCTAATAAAAGAAAAAGTTTTAAACAAGAACATCCCACTCTTTTGAGTATAGGGAAGTTCATTCCACTTGTGAACTTCATCCCACCTAGTTACAGCAAAGAGATAACACTGGCAATAGTTCTATACCAATTACATGTACAGCATGCCTTAGCTTACCTGTAGAAACACCTTGTCCCCTTCTGCACACAAGTAGTAGAGGTTGCCATCTAACTCAATACTAAAGGTATTTGCCATATATTGAAGGGATTGGTCAACTTCAAAATCTAGAGACAGAAACACAAAAAATAAATTTACTAGACATAGAAAGTCAAATTGTATATGCAAGTAATTGGCTCTTTACAACTTGGTTATTTCTTAAAATAGATTTCTGTACTGAAAACTGTTATTTTGTTTGAATGATAGGGTTCTATACTAAGTAAGATTTTAAAGTGATGCCTAGAAAATAACAAACAAGGGTACACAGAGTTTCTTTGTATTATTATATCCAGCACAAATATTCAAAGAAATATTCACAACCTTTATACAGGTCAATTGATCGCCTTAAAAAATAAATTCCATGTTACTTTTTGTGTGGTCAGTACATTGAAGCTACTTGTTTTATATGATAAAAAAAAAAAAAACTTAAAATTGTCACCTGTGAGATATGTCATTTATGCATCTATCCTCCATTAGATCATAAGTAAGAACCAATCAAAATGCTTGGGTAATTCAGCTTGTGTTAGGAAAACGTTTATTACCTTTGCAATGGTTATTAATATCAATTGTAGTTAAGTGCATGGCCAAGATGGCTCTTTTGAATGCTCAATTTGAACCTCATGTATCAGTGACTGGTGAACTCGCGTTTAATTCTCACATGAGTTTAAAATGCATAAATAATACATTCACATTGTAGGTTTTTGCGTAGATTACGCTCATGATATGAGATTTCAGAGCCAATATGAAATGTATTAAGTTCCACGTGTACTTTACGCCGTGTCAGTGCATGTTTGACATTTTTGCACGCCGCTCGATCTACAAGTGTTGTAATGACTGCTCACCCCGAATTAGCCTTTTTGTACATGAACTAGAGCTTCTTGAGAGCCTTACCTGTTCGTTCGTTCCTATGGCTTCCAGTAAACGTTATTGAGATTTGAAGGTCTCCGTGAGGCAAAGCTGCCATCATGAGGTTTCCTCCGTGGTCAAGCTTGTGTGCCTTTTTGATCATACGATTACAGGAAAGGATCTCAGTTATCTGTCCAGAGAAAAATTAAAGAAAAGGAATGTTTGTTAAGCTTTTGGATTTAAACAAAACACTTTATTACTGGACACAATCAGCGTGGGAAGAAACTTCACTCATTGAAAGACCGCTGTTAGAAAGATGTTCGATTAACTTGACAACAATTTTATCCTACCTGAGCCATATTTTTGCCTATTAAATGTTATCTTTCCAAACTTGCTCTGACGATCTTTGGCTTCTCTTGCCGTTTCTAGCGAATCGCATAAGAAATTCGATATATATACGAGAATCTGAGGAAGTTTAAAATGCAAATTGACACTGGGGGACTCCCCACAGTCACGCGGTCAACTTAGAAAATGAAAACGTCAAATACCTCAGTTACTTCCACGGATTTTCCCATAAGCTAAGCTTCTATCAAATAAGACTGGTTTCTACGACTGCATATAGAGCATACAGGGGGAAATACTCATAATTTTGCCTCAAAGAACAAAATATCGCTACACTAAAAATTTGTAAAACAACTAGCCACCCAAGAAAAGAAAGCAAATATAATTTTCTGAAATAGAATTTTAGAGCTATTCTCGGTTGGCCAGTAGATATACCTCTGAGAAAATGAAAGACTGAAACTTTTTGCCACTGATGTGTGAGATCGACTAGTATAAGCGCTGTTGCGTGATAATTAGTGTATTTTGGGACTGTCACGCAACTGTCTGCGTGACGTTAGGGCCGCCATATCAGACAAAATTGTCTGATATCACATGAAAAATATATGCGCTTTCATACGCGAAGGATGAAAAAATACAATCCAGGAACAGATGAAGCAAAATTTGCAATCCATCTATGAAAAATTTTAAACGTCTAAACGCTACAAGTAAGAGAGAAAATTGTCTATAAAGTGAAAACATTTCATTAATCCTTTTATAAACGGAATTTAGTCACATGATTGACCAAATTCGCTATTTTTATTATAAAGACCAAGTGTATCTCAAAATTTAGTCTAAACCAGTCAGGTGGCCTTGTTAGTCATTGCAACGGGATAATTTTCAATCGAGTGGCGTTTTTGAAAACACTCGAAGATACGTCATGCGGAGTAAATAGAATGTTAATAGCGAAGGTTGTTTAATTGATATCACACGAACTTTTTTCAAGTTTCTTAAGAGAGAATTTTAAAGGTTTTCTTTCACTACGATCAGGTTTAACAACAACATAACTTACTCTGGCATGGAGACAAGGCCTGTGTGCCCTTCGATCACAAGTCAGGTACCTTATCCTTAGTTCCTGAACAGATTTTGAATCTTGTTCCGGTCAATTGATTGTGATTAAAAAAATAAGAGCGGAAAGTGAACCGTGGAGGGAAACTTAAATTAAATAGGAAGAAAAACAAGGCCAAAAAACTCAGAAAACGATGCGTCTTGTTGATCAATATTCCTGTTTTTAATACGTCTATGTTGCTGTAGTCTACTGGAATTCATAAATAGAACAACAATGTTATTATCGCAGAGCAATTCTTGCTTTTGAAATATTTTCCACACGCTGACCGATTGGATTCTACAAAAGAGAAAAGAAAAACTTTTACCATGGCCGAGTAAGTCCGGTTGTGAAAAATATCCATCCTTTCCACACATTTAGGCATAGCGTGACAAATCAGACTAAAAATCAGACCCCACCTCCACTCGGGGAATGATACAATACGTACTTTCGCCTGTTTACAAACATGCTTAGTCTGTAAAATCCCCGCTTCTGTGAGTAAAATTAAAAAAAAAAGAGATTTCTTATCCCTTACCTAAAGAAATTATTTCAGCCTAAAGTCGATGGAGAAATATAGATATTTAATGGGTTAGTTATGGAAATGTGCTCAGTTAAAGATGAAATGGAGAACGTCACGACTTACTTATAACTTGCGCTATCTCAGATGCTAGCGAAATGCAAAAAAGTTTAATTGACAAAAATTGAATGCATTCATTTACCTGTGGATTTGCATCCAGCTCAATTTGTTAAGATTTTGAATTTAAACAAAACACTTTGTAACTGGACACAATCAGGATGGGAAGAAACTTCACTCATTGAAAGAGAACTGTTAGAAAGATGTTCGATTAACTTGACAACAATTTTATCCTACCTGAGCTATATTTGCCTATTGAAAGTTTTCTTTTCGAAACTTGCCGCAGTGCTCTGATGATCTTTGGCTTCTCTTGCCGCTTATCGCGAATCGCATCAAAAATTCGATATATATATAAGAGAATTTGAGGAAGTTTATTGTGCACTTTTACCTTTTTTCAGAATCACTGTGTATAATGATCATTGCCTTTGTTTTTTTTATTAAACAACATCCAAGACTGCATTCTATGCCACTTTGGTTTGTATAGATGCTGTAGTTCAAAGTAAAGTTATGGTTAAAATGGTTTGAAACTGGTAGTTTGAAATACATTCAAGTCTTTAAAAAAACCAAAGAAACCAATTTGAATATTATTTCATCTGGAAAAGCTTTGTAAATAACTACATATACACTTGTAAGTGCCTTTAAATGATCAGCACACAAAAAACAATTTGATGTACAAAACTTATTTTAATATAGTAATACTCATGGAGTACAACACATATTCTGGGTAAATACCAGGTACAATTTATATTACTTAGAACATATTTAGTTGTATTTTGCCACTTGAAGTTACTGTGAACAACAATTTTTTTGGCAACAATTAAGTAATACTTTAAAATATCAGTAGGCCTTCTAAATATCAAGCTTTATAAAATATACTACATTATTTTCTGAAAATTAGTCTAAATTTTAAAAAACAATTGAGCTTATTTCTTCTTCATTACATCTCAAAATGTTAAATGCTTATCAAAAGTATATCTCAAAAACAAATAAATATACTCTGTTTAAAAAACAAAATGAGAAATCTTTGAACTCCTAGTACAAAATAGTCTCAAGATTGAAAAAATTTTAAAATTCTCCTAACTTATTTCTGTACATGTATTTTAACAGTACAACTTATTAACACCTAACAAGCTTCCACTTGAGTTTGATACAGGACTGAATAGTCAAGACTTGCACCATCGCAGTAACAACTGTGTAAGGTACTTTCTCTTTCCCTTTTCACTGTTTCCATGCGATGCAGATAAAACCATGTTTGTCTGTCTGTTGGCTGGCCATGAACCAATGAGGAGGGGTTGACTTCCTCCATATATGCTTTGCCATCCTCATCACTAGCAAGGTACCTCCCAGTGTTTACTGATTTAATAGACATGTAACCACTGCTATCATTTACATATTTAACTTCAAACATGTATTTTATGTCATTAGGTTGTTTGGCAACCAGTTTCTAGAAGCAAAAATGAAGAACAGAATAGATTAAATTTAAATTTAAAAAACTAATCTGAACACTGGTTCAAATCTACCATGAATAATTTTCCAGATTTAATTCAGTATACTCAGGATGAAAGTATATAAGTGAATGCAAAAGGCTTAACAGCTATGCCTTAAACCTTTCACTCCCAAGATCTGATTGTTAATTCTCCCCTCTGACTGCTACACTTTTCCTTGTATATTGATTACAAGAATTTGTTGTTAGATCATGATAACAACCTCCACCTGATGAGTTTGAGTATTCTCAATACCTGTTTGCAAAATAATGTATGTCTATCATAGAAAGAAGTTGCATGTTAATCATTTCTTGAAGCAAAAGGGTTTAAAGGTCTCCATTTTTCTAATAAAAGAAAAAGTTTTAAACAATAACATCCCACTCTTTTGAGTATAGGGAGGTTCATTCCACTTGCGAACTTCATCCCAGCTAGTTACAGCAAGGAGATAACACTGGCAATTATTCTATACCAATAACATGTACAGCATGCCTTAGCTTACCTGTAGAAACACCTTGTCCCCTTCTGCACACAAGTAGTAGAGGTTGCCAGCTAACTCAATACTAAAGGTATTTGCCATATATTGAAGGGATTGGTCAACTTCAAAATCTAGAGACAGAAACACAAAAAATAAATTTACTAGACATAGAAAGTCAAATTGTATATGCAAGTAATTCAGGCTCTTTACAACTTGGTTATTTCTTAAAATAGACTTCTGTACTGAAAACTGTTATTTTGTTTGAATGATAGGGTTCTATGCTAAGCAAGATTTTAAAGTGATGCCTAGAAAATAACAAACAAGGGTACACAGAGTTTCTTTGTATTATTCTATCCAGCACAAATATTCAAAGAAATATTCACAACCTTTATACAGGTCAATTGATCGCCTTAAAAAATAAATTCTATGTTACTTTTCGTGTGGTCAGTAATAGATCACAGATGACATCAGAATGTGATAGGAACAACAAAATGAAACATGAAGCGTAGCTGAGTGTGTCAGTGATGTTCTCAGCATATTTTGACATCCACTATGAACTATTGCTGTACAGACCGACAGCAACATTGAAGCTACTTGTTTTATATGATAAAAAACTTAACATTGTCACCTGTGAGATATGTCATTTATGCATCTATCCTCCATTAGATCATAAGTAAGAACCAATCAAAATACATGGGTAATTTAGCTTGTGTAAGGAAAAATTTTATTACCTTCGCAATGGTTATCAATATCAATTGTAGTTTTTTATATGGCTCTTTTGAATGCTCATCGAACCTCAAGTATCAGTGACTGGTGAACTCACATTTAATTCTCACACGAGTTTAAAATGCACAAATAATACATTCACATTGTAGGTTTTTGCGTAGATTACGCTCATGATATGAGATTTCAGAGCCAATATGAAATGTATTAAGTTCCACGTGTACTTTACGCCGTGTCAGTGCATGTTTGACATTTTTGCACGCCGCTCGATCTACAAGTGTTGTAATGACTGCTCACCCCGAATTAGCCTTTTTGTACATGAACTAGAGCTTCTTGAGAGCCTTACCTGTTCGTTCATTCCTATGGCTTCCAGTAAACGTTATTGAGATTTGAAGGTCGCCGTGAGGCAAAGCTGCCATCATGAGGTTTCCTCCGTGGTCAAGCTTGTGTGCCTTTTTGATCATACGATTACAGGAAAGGATCTCAGTTATCTGTCCAGAGAAAAAATTAAAGAAAAGGAATGTTTGTTAAGCTTTTGGATTTAAACAAAACACTTTATTACTGGACACAATCAGCGTGGGAAGAAACTTCACTCATTGAAAGACCGCTGTTAGAAAGATGTTCGATTAACTTGACAACAATTTTATCCTACCTGAGCCATATTTGCCTATTAAATGTTATCTTTCCAAACTTGCTCTGACGATCTTTGGCTTCTCTTGCCGTTTCTAGCGAATCGCATAAGAAATTCGATATATATACGAGAATCTGAGGAAGTTTAAAATGCAAATTGACACTGGGGGACTCCCCACAGTCACGCGGTCAACTTAGAAAATGAAAACGTCAAATACCTCAGTTACTTCCACGGATTTTCCCATAAGCTAAGCTTCTATCAAATAAGACTGGTTTCTACGACTGCATATAGAGCATACAGGGGGAAATACTCATAATTTTGCCTCAAAGAACAAAATATCGCTACACTAAAAATTTGTAAAACAACTAGCCACCCAAGAAAAGAAAGCAAATATAATTTTCTGAAATAGAATTTTAGAGCTATTCTCGGTTGGCCAGTAGATATACCTCTGAGAAAATGAAAGACTGAAACTTTTTGCCACTGATGTGTGAGATCGACTAGTATAAGCGCTGTTGCGTGATAATTAGTGTATTTTGGGACTGTCACGCAACTGTCTGCGTGACGTTAGGGCCGCCATATCAGACAAAATTGTCTGATATCACATGAAAAATATATGCGCTTTCATACGCGAAGGATGAAAAAGAATACAATCCAGGAACAGATGAAGCAAAATTTGCAATCCATCTATGAAAAATTTTAAACGTCTAAACGCTACAAGTAAGAGAGAAAATTGTCTATAAAGTGAAAACATTTCATTAATCCTTTTATAAACGGAATTTAGTCACATGATTGACCAAATTCGCTATTTTTATTATGAAGACCAAGTGTATCTCAAAATTTAGTCTAAACCAGTCAGGTGGCCTTGTTAGTCATTGCAACGGGATAATTTTCAATCGAGTGGCGTTTTTGAAAACACTCGAAGATACGTCATGCGGAGTAAATAGAATGTTAATAGCGAAGGTTGTTTAATTGATACACACGAACTTTTTTCAAGTTTCTTAAGAGAGAATTTTAAAGGTTTTCTTTCACTGCGATCAGGTTTAACAACAACATAACTTACTCTGGCATGGAGACAAGGCCTGTGTGCCCTTCGATCACAAGTCAGGTACCTTATCCTTAGTTCCTGAACAGATTTTGAATCTTGTTCCGGTCAATTGATTGTGATTAAAAAAATAAGAGCGGAAAGTGAACCGTGGAGGGAAACTTAAATTAAATAGGAAGAAAAACAAGGCCAAAAAACTCAGAAAACGATGCGTCTTGTTGATCAATATTCCTGTTTTTAATACGTCTATGTTGCTGTAGTCTACTGGAATTCATAAATAGAACAACAATGTTATTATCGCAGAGCAATTCTTGCTTTTGAAATATTTTCCACACGCTGACCGATTGGATTCTACAAAAGAGAAAAGAAAAACTTTTACCATGGCCGAGTAGGTCCGGTTGTGAAAAATATCCATCCTTTCCACACATTTAGGCATAGCGTGACAAATCAGACTAAAAATCAGACCCCACCTCCACTCGGGGAATGATACAATACTTACTTTCGCCTGTTTACAAACATGCTTAGTCTGTAAAATCCCCGCTTCTGTGAGTAAAATTAAAAAAAAAAGAGATTTCTTATCCCTTACCTAAAGAAATTATTTCAGCCTAAAGTCGATGGAGAAATATAGATATTTAATGGGTTAGTTATGGAAATGTGCTCAGTTAAAGATGAAATGGAGAACGTCACGACTTACTTATAACTTGCGCTATCTCAGATGCTAGCGAAATGCAAAAAAGTTTAATTGGCAAAAATTGAATGCATTCATTTACCTGTGGATTTGCATCCAGCTCAATTTGTTAAGATTTTGAATTTAAACAAAACACTTTGTAACTGGACACAATCAGGATGGGAAGAAACTTGAAACTTCACTCATTGAAAGAGAACTGTTAGAAAGATGTTCGATTAACTTGACAACAATTTTATCCTACCTGAGCTATATTTGCCTATTGAAAGTTTTCTTTTCGAAACTTGCCGCAGTGCTCTGATGATCTTTGGCTTCTCTTGCCGCTTATCGCGAATCGCATCAAAAATTCGATATATATATAAGAGAATTTGAGGAAGTTTATTGTGCACTTTTACCTTTTTTCAGAATCACTGTGTATAATGATCATTGCCTTTGTTTTTTTTTATTAAACAACATCCAAGACTGCATTCTATGCCACTTTGGTTTGTATAGATGCTGTAGTTCAAAGTTAAGTTGTGGTTAAAATGGTTTGAAACTGGTAGTTTGAAATACATTCAAGTCTTTAAAAAAACCAAAGAAACCAATTTGAATATTTGAGTCATCTGGAAAAGCTTTGTAAATAACTACATATACACTTGTAAGTGCCTTTAAATGATCAGCACACAACAAACAATTTGATGTACAAAACTTATTTTAATATAGTAATACTCATAGAGTACAACACATATTCTGGGTAAATACCAGGTACAATTTATATTACTTAGAACATATTTAGTTGTATTTTGCCACTTGAAGTTACTGTGAACAACAATTTTTTTGGCAACAATTAAGTAATACTTTAAAATATCAGTAGGCCTTCTAAATATCAAGCTTTATAAAATATACTACATTATTTTCTGAAAATTAGTCTAAATTTTAAAAAACAATTGAGCTTATTTCTTCTTCATTACATCTCAAAATGTTAAATGCTTATCAAAAGTATATCTCAAAAACAAATAAATATACTCTGTTTAAAAAACAAAATGAGAAATCTTTGAACTCCTAGTACAAAATAGTCTCAAGATTGAAAAAATTTTAAAATTCTCCTAACTTATTTCTGTACATGTATTTTAACAGTACAACTTATTAACACCTAACAAGCTTCCACTTGAGTTTGATACAGGACTGAATAGTCAAGACTTGCACCATCGCAGTAACAACTGTGTAAGGTACTTTCTCTTTCCCTTTTCACTGTTTCCATGCGATGCAGATAAAACCATGTTTGTCTGTCTGTTGGCTGGCCATGAACCAATGAGGAGGGGTTGACTTCCTCCATAAATGCTTTGCCATCCTCATCACTAGCAAGGTACCTCCCAGTGTTTACTGATTTAATAGACATGTAACCACTGCTATCATTTACATATTTAACTTCAAACATGTATTTTATGTCATTAGGTTGTTTGGCAACCAGTTTCTAGAAGCAAAAAATGAAGAACAGAATAGATTAAATTTAAATTTAAAAAACTAATCTGAACACTGGTTCAAATCTACCATGAATAATTTTCCAGATTTAATTCAGTATACTCAGGATGAAAGTATATAAGTGAATGCAAAAGGCTTAACAGCTATGCCTTAAACCTTTCACTCCCAAGATCTGATTGTTAATTCTCCCCTCTGACTGCTACACTTTTCCTTGTATATTGATTACAAGAGTTTGTTGTTAGATCATGATAACAACCTCCACCTGATGAGTTTGAGTATTCTCAATACCTGTTTGCAAAATAATGTATGTCTATCATAGAAAGAAGTTGCATGTTAATCATTTCTTGAAGCAAAAGGGTTTAAAGGTCTCCATTTTTCTAATAAAAGAAAAAGTTTTAAACAATAACATCCCACTCTTTTGAGTATAGGGAGGTTCATTCCACTTGCGAACTTCATCCCAGCTAGTTACAGCAAGGAGATAACACTGGCAATTATTCTATACCAATAACATGTACAGCATGCCTTAGCTTACCTGTAGAAACACCTTGTCCCCTTCTGCACACAAGTAGTAGAGGTTGCCAGCTAACTCAATACTAAAGGTATTTGCCATATATTGAAGGGATTGGTCAACTTCAAAATCTAGAGACAGAAACACAAAAAATAAATTTACTAGACATAGAAAGTCAAATTGTATATGCAAGTAATTCAGGCTCTTTACAACTTGGTTATTTCTTAAAATAGATTTCTGTACTGAAAACTGTTATTTTGTTTGAATGATAGGGTTCTATGCTAAGCAAGATTTTAAAGTGATGCCTAGAAAATAACAAACAAGGGTACACAGAGTTTCTTTGTATTATTCTATCCAGCACAAATATTCAAAGAAATATTCACAACCTTTATACAGGTCAATTGATCGCCTTAAAAAATAAATTCCATGTTACTTTTCGTTTGGTCAGTAATATATCACAGTTGACATCAGAATGTGATAGGAACAACAAAATGAAACATGAAGCGTAGCTGAGTGTGTCAGTGATGTTCTCAGCATATTTTGACATCCACTATGATCTATTACTGTACAGACCGACGGCAACATTGAAGCTACTTGTTTTATATGATAAAAAAAAAAAAAAAAAAAATAACATTGTCACCTGTGAGATATGTCATTTATGCATCTATCCTCCATTAGATCATAAGTAAGAACCAATCAAAATGCATGAGTAATTCAGCTTGTGTTAGGAAAACGTTTATTACCTTTGCAATGGTTATTAATATCAATTGTAGTTAAGTGCATGGCCAAGATGGCTCTTTTGAATGCTCAATTTGAACCTCATGTATCAGTGACTGGTGAACTCGCGTTTAATTCTCACATGAGTTTAAAATGCACAAATAATACATTCACATTGTAGGTTTTTGCATAGATTACGCTCATGATATGAGATTTCAGAGCCAATATGAAATGTATTAAGTTCCACGTGTACTTTACGCCGTGTCAGTGCATGTTTGACATTTTTACACGCCGCTCGATCTACAAGTGTTGTAATGACTGCACACCCCGAATTAGCCTTTATGTACATGAACTAGAGCTTCTTGAGAGCCTTACCTGTTCGTTCATTCCTATGGCTTCCAGTAAACGTTATTGAGATTTGAAGGTCGCCGTGAGGCAAAGCTGCCATCATGAGGTTTCCTCCGTGGTCAAGCTTGTGTGCCTTTTTAATCATACGATTGCAGGAAAGGATCTCAGTTACCTGTCCAGAGAAAAGTTAAAGAAAAGGAATGTTTGTTAAGCTTTTGAATTTAACAAAACACTTTATTACGGGACACAATCAGCGTGGGAAGAAACTTTACTCATTGAAAGAGAACTGTTAGAAAGATGTTCGATTAACTTGACAACAATTTTATCCTACCTGAGCCATATTTGCCTATTAAAAGTTTTCTTTTCCAAACTTGCCGCAGTGCTCTGGTGATTTTTGGCTTCTCTTGCCGTTTATCGCGAATCGCATCAGAAATTCGATATATATATACGAGAATTTGAGGAAGTTCATTGCGCAAATTAACACTGGGGGACTCCCCACTGTCACGCGGTCAACTTGGAAAATGAAAACGTCAAATAACTAAGTTACTCCCACAGATTTTTCTAGAAGCTAAGCTTCTATCAAGTAAAACTGGTTTCTACGGCTGCATATTGAACATGCAGAGGGAAATACCCATAATTTTGCCTCAAAGACCAAATTACTATACTAAAAATTGTGAAACAACTAACCACGCAAGTAAAGAAAGCAAATACAATTTTCCGAAATAGAGCTATTCTCGGTTGGCTAGCAGATATTCCTCTGAGAAAATGAAAAACTGAAACTTTTTGTCACTGGTGTAGGAGAACGACTATAATTACAAGCATAGAAGCGCTGTTGTGTGATAATTCGTGTATTTTGAAAATGTCACGCAACTAGCTGCGTGACGTTAGGACCGCCATATGAGTCTGATATCACATGGAAAATATACGCGCTTTTATACGCGACGGACGAAAAAGAATAAAATCTAGGAATGGATGGAGTGAATTTTTTTTCAGGCCTTATTTTCATTACTGCTGAAATAGTGTTGAATACTTCGAAGATCGCTTTCACATATCCGCAGTTCACATGTATGATCACTTATTAATCAGTACAAGCTCTCAGTTGGCTTGTTAACTTAGTCGGTAGAGCACTGCATAAGTATCGCAAAGGTCATGGGTTCAAAGCCCGTACAGGCCTGAATTTTTTTCAGGCCTTATTTTACTACTGCTCAAGTAGTGTTCATTACTGCGAAGATCGCTTTTATATTCACAACTTATTGTTTGTAAGCCGAGAACGCACACTAAAATTTACATCCAGTTGTGTTTGTGTTTCTTGTTGTTTTCCTAATGATTAAAAATAATTTAAACTAACAGTCCTTAGAGATTTTTTAGTCTAGTTAGTGTTCGGTCGAGTCGATTTACGATAACCTAAAATAGGCTTTACGAACGACTTGTAGTAAGAGTAGTTATTTCGTTCTTGTTCAGAAACTGGTTAATGATATTTAATAAGAAAATCAGACTGAGTTATTGTTTAGACTGGACGCAGTAGTCTCCATTATTGTTAGGACGTTTCGTATCAATGTTGATTTGCATCTGAAGAAGCAAGGATTTATTGCAACTATTTCAATAGTTCAAATGCAGTAGTTTGTTCGCATATTTTAATTTTTGCGTATACTGTACAACTCGCTATAACAAATGCAGCAGAATTGGAACGAAATGGCTGTTTATCTTTATCTTTGCTGAAGAATGTTGTGTTGTGATTGAAAAGAACATCGACAAAAAGCTTGCAAATAGAATTAGGTACCAAATATGATACAAACGGGGGTCCAAATCTGCAGCGGGGGGTTCATATCCGCTAGCGGATTTGGATCGGTGGTCCAAATCGGGGGGTCGAAATCCGCTGTCACACCCTCCAATCACAAGTCAGGCACCTTATCCTTTTAGTTCCTGAACAGATTTTGAATCTTGGGCTGCTCAATTGGTTGTGATTAAAATAATACGACCGTAGTGAACCGTGGAGGGAAACTCAAACTAAATAGAACGGAGAACAAGGCCAATAACTCAGAAAACGATGCGTCTAGTTGATCGATATTCCTGTTTTTTCCTGTTTCTAATGAGTCCTTTTTGCTCTTACTATTGGAATTCATGAATAGAGAAATAATGTTATAATCGCAGAGCAATTCCTGCTTTTGAAATCCTTTTCACATGCTGGCCGATTGGATTGTACAAAAGAAAAAAAGATTTTTTTGCCATAGCCGAGCAGATCTGGTTGTGGAAATTTTCCATCCTTTCAACACGTCTACGCATAGCGTGACAGATGAGACCACCGACCCCAGATTTTCTCAAACACTCCCCCCTCCTCTCGGGAATGACAAAATACTTACTTTCGCCTGTTTACAAACATGCTTAGTGTGTAAAATCCCTGCTTCTGTGTGTAGAATTTAAAAAAACAAGATTGTTATCCCTGATCTAAGGAAAATGATTTCAGGCTAAAGTCGATGAAGAAATACAGATATTCAATGAATTAGTTTTTGAAATGTGCACAGTAAAAGATAGCTTTAAAAGGGAACCTCACGAGTTACTAATAACTTGCACTATCTCAAATGTTAGCGAAATGCTAAAAGTCTGGCAAGGAGGATGAGCTCTAAATTGAAAGAATTAATTTACCTGTTGATCTGCATCCAGCCCAACTTCATTAGATTCATTCGTTGATTCCGATTGAAGCTTAGCCGTGATTCTTTAAAATAATTTAGAAATAGCTCGCATATCAACTTAAACAAAACTTTTTTTTTTTACTTTATGGAGTGATTAAGCGTTCAGTGGTAAACATTTACCAGGGACACAGTTTCTTTTGTTACCACTCATTATATATAGAAGGGAAGGAACTAGAAAGATTTATCAAAAAGCTAAACGGAAATTCCTAGACCCCCTTCCAGGGCATGTTATGTAAAAAAATGAGAAATGAAAACCCCACGAGCCTCACATGCCAAAAAAATACACATCAAATCTCTATGAACATTTATTTGCCAATCAATAGCAAAATCAACGGAAACGGCTGAATTACACTCCGGCCCCCCCCCCCCCCAAAAAAAAAATCAATAATGAGTGGTCTTTAATATAAAGCCATTCTCCCTTTTTGATTCTTTTAATGATTGAAAATGAATTTCATACAGTACATAAATGAAATCAAACCATTTGATATGATTGCTGACATTGTTTCCTTGGAACTCTCTCCACCTAAAACCCATCAGATTGCAAATTGAAATAATGCCAATACTGACTTGGTCACTGGTCTTGAGTGGCTGATGATGCGTCAATCAATTTGAAGCTTCAACATCCCCCTTCTCTAGGCAACCCCACATGACATTTAATGTACTTTGGAAGATTGGCTTGTTCAAATACCCCCACCCTCCCCTAGTCACAATGCATTCAAATGCCTCACCCAATATTGAATGATTCTTTGTTAGGTCAAAGAATGTTGCAGAATTTAGCAAAGTTGCATATTAGTCTTTAGTGCTGCTATTGGGTTTTTCACGCATAAGCATCATTCTACGAAGTAAAAATTGTCGTTTTAAGCCATTTACACATGAAAGCAGACTCTTTACCCTTTAACTCCTCCATTAAACAGGTGTATTATGCAGGAAAGAATTGACACTTCCAGCTCAAATGCCCCAACCCACCTAGGCGAGGTTGAAATTTCCCAACCCATAGGCACAGATGACAGTCATATACCCATGGATTGCCTGAGTGGGGGATGTTGAAGCTTCAAATTGATCAGCAGAGTTGCCCAAGTCTCCCTAACTTGTGGCTGGTGACATGTCTTTACTTTGAGTTCCCATCGACTCCATACAACTTTTACCTTTTTTCAGAATCACTGTCTGTTTAATGATCATTGCCTTTGTTTTTTTTATTAAACAACATCCAAGACTGCATTCTATGCCACTTTGGTTTGTATAGATGCTGTAGTTCAAAGTAAAGTTGTGGTTGAAATGGTTTGAAACTGGTAGTTTGAAATACATTCAAGTCTTTAAACAAACCAAAGAAACCAATTTTGAATTATTTCATCTGGAAAAGATTTATAAATAACTACATATCCACTTGTAAGTGTCTTTAAATGATCAGCACACAACAAACAATTTGATGTACAAAACATATTTTAATATAAAAATACTCATGGAGTACAACACATATTCTGGGTAAATACCAGGTACAATTTATATTACTTAGAACATTTTAAGCTGTATTTTGCCACTTGAAGTTACTGTGAACAACAATTTTTTTGGCAACAATTAAGTAATACTTTAAAATATCAGTAGGCCTTCTAAATATCAAGCTTTATAAAATATACTTCATTATTTTATGAAAATTAGTCTAAATTTTAAAAAACAATTGAGCTTATTTCTTTTTCATTACATCTCAAAATGTTAAATGCTTATCAAAAGTATAATCCCAAAAACAAATAAATATACTCTGTTTAAAAAACAAAATGAGAAATCTTTGAACTCCTAGTACAAAATAGTCTCAAGATTGAAAAAATTTTAAAATTCTCCTAACTTATTTCTGTACGTGTATTTTAACAGTATAACTTATTAACACCTAACAAGCTTCCACTTGAGTTTGATACAGGACTGAATAGTCAAGACTTGCACCATCGCAGTAACAACTGTGTAAGGTACTTTCTCTTTCCCTTTTCACTGTTTCCACGCGATGCAGATAAAACCATGTTTGTCTGTCTGTTGGCTGGCCATGAACCAATGAGGAGGGGTTGACTTCCTCCATAAATGCTTTGCCATCCTCATCACTAGCAAGGTACTTCCCAGTTTTTATTGATTTAATAGACATATAATTGCTGCTGTCATTTACATATTTAACTTCAAACATGTATTTTTTGTCTTTGGGTTGTTTGGCAACCAGTTTCTAGAAGCAAAAATGAAGAACAGAATAGATTAAATTTAAATTTAAACTAATCTGAACACTGGTTCAAATCTGCCAAGAATAATTTTCCAGATTTAACCTAGTATATAGTCAGAATGAAAGTATATAAGTGAATGCAAAAGGCTTAACAGCTATGCCTTAAACCTTTCACTCCCAAGATCTGATTGTTAATTCTCTCCTCTAGCTGCCACACATTTCCTTGTATATTGATTACAAGAATTTGTTGTTAGATCATGATAACAACCTCCACCTGATGAGTTTGAGTATTCTCAATACCTGTTTGCAAAATAATGTATGTCTATCATAGAAAGAAGTTGCATGTTAATCATTTCTTGAAGCAAAAGGGTTTAAAGGTCTCCATTTTTCTAATAAAAGAAAAAGTTTTAAACAAGAACATCCCACTCTTTTGAGTATAGGGAAGTTCATTCCACTTGCGAACTTCATCCCACCTAGTTACAGCAAGGAGATAACACTGGCAATTATTCTATACCAATTACATGAACAGCATGTCTTAGCTTACCTGTAGAAACACCTTGTCCCCTTCTGCACACAAGTAGTAGAGGTTGCCATCTAACTCAATACTAAAGGTATTTGCCATATATTGAAGGGACTGGTCAACTTTAAAATCTAGAAACAGAAACACAAAAAATAAATTTACTAGACATAGAAAGTCAAATTGTATACAAGTAATCGGCTCATTACAATTTGGTTATTTCTTAAAATAGACTTCTGTACTGAAAACTGTTATTTTGTTTGAATATTAGGGTTCTATGCTAAGCAAGATTTTAAATTGATGCCTAGTAAATAACAAACAAGGGTACACAGAGTTTCTTTGTATTATTATATCCAGCACAAACATTCAAAGAAATATTCACAACCTTTATACAGCTCAATTGATCGCCTTAAAAAAAAAATTCCATGTTACTTTTTGTGTGGTCAGTAATAGATCACAGATGACATCAAAATGTGACAGGAACAACAAAATGAAACATGAAGCGTAGCTGAGTGTGTCAGTGATGTTTTGACATATATAGCTTATAGCATATTTTGACATCCACTATGATCTATTACTGTACAGACCGACGGCAACATTGAAGCTACTTGTTTTATATGATAAAAAAAAACTTTACATTGTCACTTGTGAGATATGTCATTTATGCATCTATCCTCCATTAGATCATAAGTAAGAACCAACCAAAATGCATGGGTAATTCAGCTTGTGTTAGGAAAACGTTTATTACCTTTGCAATGGTTATTAATATCAATTGTAGTTAAGTGCATGGCCAAGATGGCTCTTTTGAATGCTCAATTTGAACCTCAAGTATCAGTGACTGGTGAACTCGCGTTTAATTCTCACATGAGTTTAAAATGCATAAATAATACATTCACATTGTAGGTTTTTGCGTAGATTACGCTCATGATATGAGATTTCAGAGCCAATAAGAAATGTATTAAGTTCCACGTGTACTTTACACCGTGTCAGTGCATGTTTGACATTTTTACACGCCGCTCGATCTACAAGTGTTGTAATGACTGCACACCCCGAATTAGCTTTTGTACATGAACTAGAGCTTCTTGAGAGCCTTACCTGTTCGTTCATTCCTATGGCTTCCAGTAAACGTTATTGAGATTTGAAGGTCTCCGTGAGGCAAAGCTGCCATCATGAGGTTTCCTCCGTGGTCAAGCTTTTGTGCCTTTTTGATCATACGATTACAGGAAAGGATCTCAGTTACCTGTCCAGAGAAAAATTAAAGAAAAGTTTGTTAAGCTTTTGAATTTAAACAAAATACTTCATTACGGGACACAATCAGCGTGGGAAGAAACTTCACTCATTGAAAGAGCACTGTTAGAAAGATGTTCAATTAACTTCACAACAATATTATCCTACCTGAGCCATATTTGCCTATTAAAGGTTTTCTTTCCAGACTTGCTCTGATGATCTTTGGCTTTTCTTGCTGTTTATCGCGAATTGCATCAGAAATTCGATATATATACGAGAATTTGAGGAAGTTTAAAATGCAAGTTGACACTGGGGGACTCCCCACAGTCACGCGGTCAACTTAGAAAATGAAAATATTAAATACCTCTGTTACTTCCACGGATTTTCCCATAAGCTAAGCTTCTATCAGATAAGACTGGTTTCTATGACTACATATAGAGTATACAGGGGGAAATACTCATAATTTTGCCTCAAAGAACAAAATATAGCTATATTAAAAATTTGTAAAACAACTAGCCATCCAAGAAAAGAAAGCAAATACAATTTTCCGAAATAGAATTTTAGAGCTATTCTCGGTTGGCCAGTAGACATGCCTCTGAGAAAATGAAAGACTGAAACATTTTGCCACTGATGTGTGAGATCGACTAATATAAGCGCTGTTGTGTGATAATTAGTGTATTTTGGGACTGTCACGCAACTGTCTGCGTGACGTTAGGGCCGCCATATCAGACAAAATTGTTTGATATCGGATGAAAAATATATGCGCTTTCAAACGCGAAGGACGAAAAAGAATACAATCCAGGAACAGATGAAGCAAAATTTGCATTTCATGTATGAAAAATTTTAAACGTCTAAACGCTACAAGTAAGAGAGAAAATTGTCTATAAAATGAAAACATTTCATTAATCCTTTTATAAACGGAATTTAGTCACATGGTTGACCAAATGCGCTATTTTTATTATGAAGACCAAGTGTATCTCAAAAATTTAATCTAAGCCAGTCAGGTGGCCTTGTTAGTCATTGCAACGGGATAATTTTCAATCGAGTGGCGTTTTTGAAAACACTCGAAGATACGTCATGCGGAGTAAATAGAATGTTAATAGCGAAGATTGTTTAATTGATATCAAACGAACTTTTTTAAGTTTCTTGAGAGAGAATTTTAAAGGTTTTCTTACACTGCGATCAGGTTTAACAACAACATAACTTACTCTGGCATGGAGACAAGGCCTGTGTGCCTTTCGTTCACAAGTCAGGTACCTTATCCCTATTTAGTTCCTGAACAGATTTTGAATCTTGTTCCGGTCAATTGATTGTGATTAAAAAATAAGACAGTAAGTGAACCGTGGAGGGAAACTTAAATTAAATAGGAAGAAAAACAAGATGCGTCTTGTTGATCGATATTCCTGTTTTTAATACGTCTATGTTGCTATAGCCTACTAGAATTCATAAATAGAACAGTAATGTTATTATCGCAGAGCAATTCTTGCTTTTGAAATATTTTCCACACGCTGACTGACTGGCTGGATTCTACAAAAGAGAAAAGAAAAACTTTTGCCGTGGCCGAGGAGGTCTGGTTGTGGAAAATATCCATCCTTTCTACACGTTTAGGCATAGCGTGACTAATCAGACCACCGACACCTCCACTCGGGGAATGATACAACACGTACTTTCGAATGTTTACAAACATGCTTAGTCTGTAAAATCCCCGCTTCTGTGAGTAAAATTAAAAAAAAGAGAGATTTCTTATCCCTTACCCAAGGAAATTATTTCAGCCTAAAGTCGATGGAGAAATGTAGATATTTAATGGGTTAGTTATGGAAATGTGCTCAGTTAAAGATAGCTGAAATGGAGAACGTCACGACTTACTTATAACTTGCGCTATCTCAGATGCTAGGGAAATGCAAAAAAGTTTAATTGGCAAAAATTGAATGCATTCATTTACCTGTGGATTTGCATCCAGCTCAGTTTCATTAGATTCATTGGCTGATCCCGATTGGAACTTAGCCACGATTCTTGAAAAGAATTTAGAGATAGCTTTCATATCAACTTTGACGACCGGTGTTTCCTCTCTGTCGAGTTTTTGACTCTACGACACTCATGGCCTGGAAATTTTGGAACTTAGGTCATCTCAGGTAATTCCCCGCAAATAGCTGGGGCCAATAAGGGGGCTTTGGCGGTCACACCTCAAAGTCATGGGACATAAATGTAAATAACGGAAGTTATAACTAATTAGTTTTGATTTTAGTTGTATTCTTCCGGACTCTGGACCCTTCCTGTTTTAATCACCAGGAATGCACGGAGGCAGGTGAGGTGATGTAATAGTACGTGTGAACTACTCAATTCGTTTATTTCCTGTCACATGCAGGAGTTTGAAAGGAAACCATCGTAAAATTGAGGGCAATTTGTTGGTTTTTTTTTAAGGCTTCCGGAAAAACTTCCTGCGTATATTGCGGCTTTGAATAAAAAATGATGATTCTTATGAAAGGGATAAACCATTTATCTGTCTCTTAAGTATGCAAAATCTGCATCTGTTCAGAGGTTGTTTCAATACTATGATGGATGCAGTACTACTAGAACCTAATGTAGAACTTTTTCGAAGAGTATTCGACTGGTTCTACCTTTAATGACCCCTTGGGGTATATAAGAGGAATAATGAAATCAAAAACGCTTTTCCAAGTTGTATGGAATGCATATTGCTGTTGATCTTAGGCGCATCTATTTTCACTTTCAGTATTAAACGTTTTTTTTTAATTGTGGCCATGGAATATTACGCTAATACTTTTAAGCTTGTTCTAATCCCAATTCTCCACTGGATTTTTTCCAACTGTTTTGAGTCGATCGTTCCAAGTGTTTGGTCATCCTCGCTTTACGTTTTAGGTGAGTTTTACTTTTTTCCTTTTAGAGAAGGAGCTCAGATTAGAAAAATATTGAACTGTTAATTTTTTTCGATCACCTATGAATTAAAGAATTTCTGATTGCCTTGACGGGTTCTGTCTGAAGAGCATCCATGTTTGAAAATCATATTTACCTAATGCGTTATGTACCTAGCAACTGAAATGAAAGGAAGAGCCCAAGGGATTTGGATACGCCGACAAGTTTATGGTGAAAGAAATAGCATTCAAGGAGGGCAGCTCAAAGCGAAAACGAAATCAAATTAAATAATTGAGAAGGAAAGGAGAGGTACTACTTGAATTTTCCAGTAAATAAAACTGCATTAAAGGAGATAGGGATTTGCTAAAGCCAAGGGTTTACTCAAATGCGCCGTGCAATCATTTGGGAAAAAAGTCTCAACCGATCAAGCCATGACATGATGTCTTTTCACGTGCTTGTCATCAAGCTGCTGAAGTAATGTGTTTAACTTTACGTGTATTTCCCTGAAAAGGTAACTACCCAAAAATTTGATGATGGATTATCTTTGTCCATTGTTTATAGTGTAAATAATCAGTAGTTGCTACAGCTAGGGGAAAAAAGATTTCATCAAGGTCAGAGGAAAGTCAAGGAATTTCACTTTGAGACAGGAAAAAATTCACGATCTTAAAAGAAGTCGAGGAAAACAGAAATATGGAGTAGATATGAACTCATTCATCTTTTCGTAGCCTTTTTATGATGGAAGATGCTAGCTGTTATTAACTTTTTGTGATGTCGGTGTTACTCATGCACATAGCTTAGTACAGTCCATAGATTCCTGACCAGCATATCTTCCCTACTTGTAATGCAAGCTCAAGTTGGTTTGTAAATTAAATTGAGCAAGCATTTGTCACCTGTTTTCATTGTCTTCTAACCTTTCAAATTCTTTCGTTTATTTCATGTTGATGGAACGTGTTAGACTGATAGAATATTGTTGAATGAAATTGAACGAGAAACTGATGTTGGGTTTTCAAGGAAATTAAATATTTATTCCACGTTACTTTGACCGGGAACTATCAATTTATGTACACTACATGTAACTTACTGAGAAAATAAATATATTAATGGGTGCAGAAAAATGGCTGTAAGGGGACGTTGGGAGCCATCATCAAAACTAATACGTAAAATTGTTAATTCAGTTTGACAGGAAATTTTAAAATTTGTTCAGGGAAAAGTCAGGGAATTTCAAAAACTTATGACTGTGGCAACCAGTACAATTCCTGAGAGTAAAATTGGCAATTTGAAGAAATCACTGCAGCTGTTACTGTCCACGAATGCGGTCAGATCCACCTTAAATTTCTCCCAATGGTTAGTAAGTTGCCGACGGTGAAGGGACCTTAAATACTTCTCTTGAGTCTGCACTTTCGAGCTTAAATGCTTCCTGGACGGAAATTATCTATTTACAGATAGTGAGAACGCCTTGCTTCACCTTAGAGAGACGTGTGAACTATCTTGTGAGCATCACATGAAAAAGTTAAGAATTTTTATCAAGTGCCGTCACCAACAGGTTGACTGATACGATATTACGAAACCAACAGTTTTCTTAATTGGTAATTGATATGTTTCTCATGTCATAAACTAGTGATAATTTTGTTTTTATATGAAGGATCTGAGGTTTGCGTATGCGTCTAAGTGTGTGTTTTTTGTCGCACTCGTTGCCTTTCCCGAAATCTAAAGACGGATTGGTCTACAGGTCAATGAACGACCCGCCCCTTGTAGATTACCAGTCTCAAAAAGTAAAGGCGTCATGTAAACCACTCGATTTAAAATTTTTAAAGAATTCATCATGCCGAAAACCACTCAAACAATTATAATATCTTTTGGCTCAACAAAATTAAATTTAATGGCAAAATCCACCGCAATGAACCTAACTTGCAACTAATGTATTATGTAATAAACTTTGCACTAGGCGACTTCAGCACAAGCCAACAGCTGAGTAGCGTGTGGAAGCGGATACCTCTCTCGGCTCTCGCAGACTAACAGTGAGTACTGGCGTCTGAAAACCGATAAAAAATCAAAACAAGGACAAAGGCCAAAACGGAGCTCGTATGCTCTGGAGACAGTTGCCGGATTTGCGTGACCGTAACTGAATGATTAGGACAGTCTTTCCGCCAGTAATGGTAGTAAGATACTTTTATGTCACTTACAAAGATTAAAAAAGAGTGAAACTACGTGTTATTACGTAAATGTAACTATACAGAAACGCAATATACATTTTATCATTGCATTGCGGAAAAGCCTATCATGGTTTCAGTACTTTCCGCCGCTTGCACTAGATATCTGATATTAGGCACATTTTAATCGCTTTTCTTTCTGTATGTTAAACAAATACATTCGTAGATTTAAACTTAATCAAGTACAATAATTCTTACTCTCCTTTCTTTTTACGCTCTTAGAGCCAGATTTTCACTGGACACTAACCACTGACTTACAAACTTTTTCGGACAGATGATGATTACGTCCTCCAAGATAATCATAGCAGAAATTGCGGAAGGTTTGAGCATGTTTGTGGTTTTTTTTATCTCAGACACAAGTGATCAATACCGGTGTGTTTCATCGGTTAGGAATTCACTAAGAAAATTCACTGAATTATTTTGTCAACATTGTAAAACTGTCTTGCGTCGACTGAGTCGCTTACTCTGGTTTCCATAAGCCGTTTTAATTCATAATTTTTTCTTTTTCATTCGACGCCGTGAAGAGAGATTTTTAAGGAGCGTGGAATTACGTGACATTTTGTGGGCTAACTAAGATATATGACAAAAATATAAAAATACATTTATAAATTTTTTTTTAGAGGAAAAGTTAGATGTAGTCTCTACTCACGTTCCGCGGCATTTGTAAGCGATCCTCATCCTTGGCATTTCACGCTCTTTTGTGATAAATGGAAATATCATGCAACTTTGCAAATTCGCCGGTTGAATTGCGCTAAAATTAATTATATGTATGAGAGGGATTTAGGCTGGGGTAGGCTTTTAAGCATCTCTTCGATAATTGGTAGTCAACGCTTAAAATATGATCAAAGGACTTCGGTATTTTTTCGACTTCGTCAGCAAAAAGCTTGGTTACTGACAGACCTTAAGCATCGTTAAGGGAGAGGAAAACTCTACTTGCTATGCCATAGTAATAATAAATGAAGATCTCGGTGTAGGGACTGAAAATGGATTCAAGTTTGAACCTATACTTATTATACCAAGAACCAATTTTTGCATGACGTTGTATGAAATGACAGCTTTCTATGATACGCTGAATACTAAACGCATTTTGGTGGTTCTTACTCATGATCTTTTGAAAGACAGATGACGTCACCATTAACAACATTTAGCTTTTTTGTGAAATAACACAAGTAGATTCCATGTTGCCGTGCGTCTGTACTGCTATAGATGAAAGAGGACGTCAAAATTGGTGAGAACATCACTGACACATTCCGCAGCACCTCGTGTGCCAGCTTTTTGTCGTCAGTGCTATATATTTTAACGGCACAAGGTCATCTCGTATTGAACAATCGAACAGTAGCATAGAATTTATTTGTTCATCTTTCCGAAACGATAGACACCATCACGATCATTAAGACTCCAAAAAATGGTCAATGAGACTATTTTATTGCTGTCAGTTTTATTGAGGCAGCGTTTCGCTATTGAGCGCAGGAACAGGCAGGTGAAGGAGCACTTTTTCTATGAAGTTTATGGAGTTTCTAGCTCTGGCTTTCAGCCTATGTCTTGCAAGTAATGCTGTAAATAATCCTGTTCGTTATAATTTTTAATAATTTCTAGTTAAACTGAGAAGTATTTTAACTTACGGAAAATTATCCTATTGCATCTGAACTGAATAATGTTATCAACCCTTTTACGATGTACTTCACCTCCTCAACTAATAGCTTTAAAATCAGGCATGCCTTTAATACTAATTCATTTTCCAGCTTTGGTTTTACTCTGAAGTAAGTGTCTCGGTGTCTATAGAGTTACACTTCTCTGCTTAATCAGAGTTCTTTCTATTGATTTTTAGCAGTTCCCTCAGAGTCTCCTTCCCGTTGATCTGCGTCGCACACATCCTTCAGACCCTCAGAGTTTCCTCCTGCAAGGTCCTCTGTTTTACCCTGGTCATTTACCCTCCGGTCCTTCATGTTTTCGCCTCTGTGAGTCTTCCCTTTCACCCTGGTCAATATCCTCAGTTATGTGCTGCTCTCCTGGACCTTTCGGGGCTTCTTTTTCCGAGTCATCAGCAGGCCCACTTTCATGGGCCGTGGTCTGCTTTTCACCTGTATCTTCGTGGTCGTTGCACGAAACACTCAAACTCAACGAAATCTCAGTATACGTTTTTTGTTCTTGAATAAGATCTGAATGCCCTTGTTGCTGATAATCTAAAAAGGAGAACCACATAGCCCGATCTTCAGGTACTCCATTACTCATTTTTTTGCCTGCCACCTTCATACTGACGTTACCATTTTCTTCGCAGTATAGGTACTCCTTGTTTTTTACGGACTGGATTGTGAAGTAGTTACCTTTTTTGTTGACCTCGTTGAGAAGGAAGAAATATTTTTCGTTTCTTGGAAAGTTTTGAAGTCTCTGTGGATAAAAGAAAAGAAAAGAAAGAGAGAGGTACAACTCAGTGAACAGAAGCTAAATATCACCCAAAATATCACATAGAATGATCAAGCACATTTTCAAATTAGGTGGTTTATTTTCTCGGTACTGTTTTCCATAAATTTCCTATAGGACTTAAAAGGGAAATCGATCTATAGCTTCGGTAGTTGGCGATCATTTCCGTTATTCTCAATTAATGTTTTCGAAAGTTGTCGAGGCCTGTCGAGGGCCGACGCAAGGTGTCGGCTACTTTTCGTGTTCGTGTCGGGCACTTTTGAGCCAAAATTTCGTTTGTTTTCTTTAAAACAGTGAGACAATTCTTCACGATATGACTTATACAACAACAACAAAAGATAACGATAAGTTGCTATGTTAATCTCTTTTACGAATATTTGACAAACGAAGCCTTCGATAAAACGAAAGAAGATTAGATTTTGGCTCTGAAAATGCGACAGAATACATCCGGCTTTGCCTCAACAAACTTAAAAATTTTCCGAGGACTCCTTCACCTTCCTGTGGCTAATTTTTGTAGAATTGATTGTCTTCTTGAGATATCCTACTAAAGTATTGCACTTACACGAAAGATCACATCAGGGCTGGCCTTCCTCACAGCCAGGTAATAATTGTCCTTTCCTGAACAGTACTGAAAGACGTGTGAAACTGTGTCATTGTCTTTCACCAAAAGGAACGCTATAAGTAAAGCAGATGAATTCGGAAAAGCTCACTAAAACAACTCTAGGCGATCTCTCAAACGTGAGGATTGTAAAATACGCGAAAAGCAAACGGCCATTCATTTAAAAAAAAAAACAAAACAGGACTCGAGGGTTAATTATTTGCAATATCCAGTGAACAGGTGGCAAGAACAGAAAACAAACTTCAGCAATAGGAAATCATATAGATGTTTATAAAGAACGCGGAGAATATCGAATAGAATAGATGTACCAAAAAGGATATAATAGCAAATTCTAAAAACCAGATTAAAAGGAAATGTATAGCAGCTAGGCAGGAGAATTGCTGATTGGATCAAAAGGATTCAACAACAGTTGACAGTTGCCTACAACGGGTAGCAAATGTAGTTTACACGCCTCCCCTTACTAAGAGGTTGATAACCCTCCACTCAACATAATAAACAGAAATCTTATAATTCGTCTCTACTAAATTTCTTGAAAGTCTCCTTTTCACCCTTTACACCCCAACATCAGTATGCATATTCTCCTTAATGTCCTCTACATATTTCTCAATGTACTGAAAAGGAGAATTTGTCTCACAATCAACAGCTTCTCTAACTGGTGATCATTTCCTTTATTCTCCTGACCTTAACCTGTGATTTTGGGGAGATATTGTAAGGAGAAATTAAATGCTTGTCACTCTCAGGGGTCAAAGGGTTAAGTACCGTGCACATTTAGGAGACGACTGGGAACGAGTTGGGCTCTGTTTCCTTACATGTTGGTTGATCGTACGGACTGGTTCCTGTGAAGTTTACAGTTATCGTTTCTTGACCTTTTCCATTATGTTCATGAACCTTCAAGAGGTTGCCATCAGGTTGTCCAGGCCTGAGTGGTAGGCCTTTACGAAGAAGGGATTGTACACAATAAGGAAAACTTTCTCTTCTCTAAAAGACACACAAAAAAACTAACATTAAAGTTGCTTTTTATATATTTCTTTGTAGTTTCTCTTTTCTCTTGATAACCTTTCACATATCCTTTTCCAACAATGTGGGTCAACATGAAAGCAACTTACGTATGGAAGACGCCCTTAACAATTTCATGTTTATGAGCTTCAAGCTGTGTTTGCATGCCCTTGCGAGTTTTCCTTGGAAAGTGCTTATTATATTAGAAAGACTATCTGGAGTAGAAATGATTCCTCTTGTCCTTTACAAGAGTCATCTTAACAAGTCCTCTAAGTTGGCAAAATTTGTCATCGAAATACTTCTCTCTCTAATTTCACGGGCTCCAATTCCACTGGACATTGATTGGAGACTCTGGTCATTTTTTCCATCGACATTACATAAAGAAACTTGAGAAGGAAAGCTTGCTCATGGAAAGGAAGCAGTTGCAATTGAAATTAAGGGTGAAACTAGAAACTATTTGGGCCACAAGGCAATGTTTGCTAAATTATCCATTTCGTGCATCTCGAGTTTATGTTGACTCACTTAACGTGCGTTGCCGACCATTAATCGACCTTAATCGGGTACAGGTAAGTAAAGTAATATCAAGAAGAAAGACTTAGGCATTCTGACCTCATCTTTAAGGTATCTGGATGCAGTAAGTTCTTCTTCAGTACGCAATTCCACAGACATTCCGATGCCGTCTTCTTTATCTTGTTTGGTTGGGGTTGTCTCAGCTCCTGCTGTTTCAGAATCCAATTTTTCCTTTTTCTCTAGACATCCATTCCACGCTTCATCGCTACTTCTTTTCTTTGAAGCTGTCTTAGGATGTTGTTGTTGAGGCATTTTCGAGTTTATCCTACAAGAGTCCCTCGGAAGAATGTTTCCAGGAGTACGAGATCTTTAGACAAAGCTGCGATGAAGAAAACGGAAAAGCTTTTGTTTTCCCATGGGATTATGCTTTTGAAAGTGTTCTCATTTACATGCTTCTGTTTTGGAGTTATCCTAGAAAAAGGGAGCTCAAGTACAGATTATTTTGAGACGTGCTTTTATGCAATTAGAGATCGAAAAGATTCCAGGCCAGTGACCTGCGACTGGTTTTGAGAATCAGCAGTGAACATTAAAAAGAAGACGCACGTGGACAGAATTTGATCATCTCTGGGCCTTTTCGCTGTCGAAAGATTCTAGCCCACTTTACTAAAGAGAACTTTCCACTACTGCACGCCAAATTTGGCAGATTGTGCTCAATTTTTTTTCTCTAAATCAGAGAGTGACGAGCGACTCTGTATGGCACTTTGAGGAGCACCTTAGCTAATCCCTTGTGCGCTCAGTTGGATTCACGTGTTTGGTGTGGCATTCAAGTCTAAGGATCTTTTGGCGTTCAGAAATGTCTGAACAAGTCATGCCTCGCGCCAAGTAATTAATGAGTTGCCAGTAATCGGATTCTTGTGTTTGCGCAAAGATTTTTGGGATCGCCACCAGACAAACATTGCAACTGGATGGCGAAAGGTTGTTTCGACGTCGAAAAAAATCGATTTTGCGAGATATCAGGGCTTTTTACTGCTGTTTTGTTCGAAATGGGTGTGGGTAATATTGATACAGGGGAAATGCAAGGTTTTGTTTGAACAACCGTGAAATATGCTGTAAAATCTAACGATTAACTTTTCTTCATGCGCAAGGGTTTAGTGAAACTGACTTCGCGTAATGATCTCGAACTTTAGAAACGTTAGCTTTAGATCGCCAAGAAACAACTCAATAAAGCCGTCTCAGCTTTATGTACTTGTGTTAAGTCTACATCTAGCTTTTTTCTTAGCTTGGTAAAAAAAAAAACAAACAAAAAAAATGCTACAACGGCTACCTCGAGGCAGCAGAAGTTTAAAATTGTATGCATCAAATATTATCGTGATACATTAGTGAGTAAACACCTACATTGTCTCTGTGTTGTAATCAATGAGATTTTACAATTTTATCAGTCAAAGACCTTGTGCAAGGAGAGAAATGAATCGGTATATTTTATAACATATTTCGTGGTAATGATGACAAAAACTTACTCTTCCCTCGCATCAACATTATCTCAATCCATTTATGATAAAACTGCTGCGAAAAAGCGTTGATCTCTCTCCAAAATCGTTTTTTTGGACGTCGAAACAGCCTTTCGCCATATATTTCCTTCTAACAACTTGCACCGTTGGCCCCGTGGCGATCCCAGAAATCTTTTCGCAAACACAAGGATCCGATTACTAGCAACTCATTGGGTATTGTCTGTTGAATCGTGTAATTAGCGTCAGCAGGCGTAACTGCAATCAATCTTTGAGAAGAGTCACGACTCTGTTGCTTGACATTTAAGCATCAATGCAGGAATTTTACTTTCCTACTTGCACGGGCAAGCTTATCCATAGCGGATTCCGTGCGTAACGGGAGCATTGTCCGAAATGTAAATTTCAGCAACATTTTCAATCATCTAGATTACTCGTGCGTAAAAGGTATTGAACATGACATTCTTTCGGCGAAAATCAAACATGTACTGAGTTGTCGAGGTTTCCCAGAAGAGTTGCGATTTAATTTCTTCCTCCTTGGAAAGGGAGTCGTCAGGTGAATGAAATTTTGTAGATTAGAATTTTCGTGACAATAACAATATTTTATATTAGGTACTGAATAGAATCAGTAATTTGTTATTACCAATCTTTTTTGCGTTTCAGATCACACATATCTGAACTCGCGGATAAATTGTTAAAAAGTGACAAAATCCTGATTTCATAATGTTCTCATATGCGAAACAGAATGTTACCAGTTTTACACATACCTGGCTCTTACTTGCGTGCTATGTTGGAACTGTGTTTATAGGCACTTGTAAGCCTAACTGTGAATTAGTTCGTTGATAACTAGGCCCTTTATCCTCTAAAAGTTCCGGCTGCAAAGGAAACACAATACCTTGATTTTGTTAAAACTTTTTAACTTGTCATTGACGCAAACAGGCGTGATTCGGTGCTCAATTTTTCCTGCACACTCGAGGTTGAATGGATGGCGATCGCAATTCAGCGTTACGATGCATGTTTCGGATGAGTGGCCTTTTTTACTGTAGTATTTCCGCTTTGATACTTGACTTACAGATTCAGTAAAGAGAGATGACGTCTTTCACGAGCGTTGAACATAGAAATCTATCTTATGTCGCCGTTTGTCTACTCAGAACAAAACGTAGCGCACAAGCTGCGGACAAATTTGTCATTAATGTTCGTAACACCAGTTGACGTAATCTGCGATCGAAAAGTGACCGGACACTGGACAAAATGGAGTGTTTTTCAGGCATGATCTTGCAAAAATTTTCAAGTGCTAATGTTAGTCAAAAGGAAGTAAAACAATGTACTTTTACAGTTCATAGGCAATAATTGCGTCGCGTGTAATATTCAGCTATTTGTGTAAACTTAAACAGATTCTTAATTTAAAGGGAAAAGTTGTTTGGTGAAATAATTTAAGATTAAATTAGGTCCTGAGTTTTTTCAACCTATCAGAGAGATATATGGAACCATTAAGGTGGGGCAAAGATTACAAATATGATTTGTTTGAGTATTCTCATTACCTGTTTGCTGGGTAATGTCTGGATATTAGAGGGAGAACTTACATGTTAATCATTTAAATGGTTAAAGAATTTATTTTATCCTTACCTTTGACCGATAGAGGCAATGGTCCGCAACAAGTGGAAACCCTCCCACGCGTAAGAAAGGATGTAATCAAGTAGAAATCCCGGAAAAATGACCTAAAAGGTTTACAATTTGATAAAAATAAAGAAATTGAGAGTGCACGCTGAAGAGTATTTTAAGAGTGTCAAAGTCAGTGCCAATGTCCTTCAATCTATACAAAGGTGATGTTAAAGAAAGTGTTTGATGAAAACTGGTGTTAAAAGAGATATTTATGGCACCTATATCGAACAATGAGTGATATCGACCTTTTCTGCACAATTGTCTTTTAGTAATTTTACTTAAACAAAACGGCTTCATTGGAGACTAAATGTAGACAGGTGTGCCCAAAGCTGGAATATTGAAAGCTGGGTTGAAGCCTAAACGTCTTCCTGTTTGCATTCTTCAATACTACACCCTTACATTGTTTGTTACGTTGTTTTGACCGCACAGAGCTTGATGTTGTCTCCAGTGATCCTTGAGTGTGAGAATGTGACGTATGCTTCCTTTTTATTTCCGCTTGTTGCGGCATGCGGACCATTGCCTCTGAACCTCGAACCAGGATAGTATTGGAGTGGACTGTCAATGGACTGGACTAATGGAGGCAAACAAGCGGAAAATTTAATCGCACTCAAAAGTTGCGTTGCAAAACAAAATATTACTTTAGACGTAAATTTCATTTTCCTTGGAAGTGTCGTTACCAGAGAAAGTTCACTCATCCCGACCCTCTCATCCCTGCCCCAAGTACCGAGGGGGTGAGACGGGGTTAACAATTTCTCAGAATTTGTTTGTTTATAGGTGATGCAGCTAGACAAAGAATTCAGTTTGTGGTAGAATTTGTATGCCGCACCTGGGAAATATGCTGCGAACTACTCAACAGTTATACACAACAACATTCATGCTGATAGTCCTCGTTATAGGTAAGAAATGTTATCACTTTCTAACGAATTCGTTGTGAATTGTTTGAGGAAACAACTTGATCATTTGAACAGCTCATTTGCATTCGTTGTAAACATGCTGACGAAGGAAATGGGAAAATTACGGTGCCCTTTCGATTTTGTCTGGAAAAGCGCTTGAAAATAACTTCTCCATTTGATTTCCCCTTTGCTTAGGGGCGAAAATTTGACAATTCCTAACGTCTGAGTTTCGGGGAATTTTCTGAAAGTTTTATATACCTCTGCCAAAACAGCGCACATGTGCCGATCACAATGGCAAATGTCACTTGAATTTTTTTTTGATGTCTGATAAGATGAGTCGGTGGTTCACCTTGACTAGGCTGGAAGCTGCATGCATACAATTTTCTGTAATTACTTCATTTAGATTGTCTTAGTTATTTTCTGTGATACTGTCGTCCTTCATGGTGATAAGATTTGTCCCGTGGCAGGAACAGGCAGGAAACATGGTCCATATTAATTGTCGAGTAATCTTTACCGCTTTAAAATCACGAGACTTTGCTAGAACTAGGTTTTTACGTCACTCCAGCATGCTTCGAAATTCTCTAGCTCAGCTGTTATAGTTGGCGAGAAATCAGTGCACAGTTAACCAGCTCTTTGGCAAGGAATTCTCTTGCTAGCAGTTTCGTTGCAGTTTTAACATGTCAACGGAGAAAAATTTGGTCGCGTGATGTCAGAACTGTTTTGTGCGATTTTTTTAGCAGAATTTTGATTCAAGGAAATCATTGTTACAAAACAATGCCTTTTTTGTGCACATGTACGGACGATGCTAGCTGTTAAAAGTTACTGAGGGCTTTGCAATCACCTAATTTCCCTTACCTGCTAATCTGTACGATAAATTAAATAAGAGCTCATTAATTCCTGCGCAAAACAAACAAATAAAGAGGGTGTTGTGTTATTCGCCGCAACTACGTAGGAATGTTATTTTTATTGTCGAATTAGTCGAATTATAGCTGAGGGAGAAATGATATGATCCATCCAATCCTCAAAGGATAAGGTATTATATGCCAGTAGTGGTTAGGTAGCATGTGAGGGGTAACTAGCCAACGTAAAAACATCTTGATTATTATATTAACAACTTTTTAAAGGATTAAATTGTTTGAAACATCATTTCATGACAAATAAACTTTCCAAGAATTCAGGTTAAAAAAATGAGTTGATAAGTTATGCAAATCTTTCACAAATAAGCTTTCCAAGAATAGTGAATGTTGTAATTAAATTTACAAACATTTAAATGAATAAGTTATGCAAATCTCACACAACAGTTTTTCCTTTCCCCATTGCTTCCTGCTTTCTTTGATCTCACCAATTAAATACGGTGACAAGAACACTTAATCAGAATATTATAGCACTTGCATGTTAACAATATGCCTGCAGGCTAACAGTCAAAATACTGGTAAGTTTCTCTTGAAACATACCTCACCTTCCATAAAGGACAGAAGAACCGTCCCTCAGCAGAGAAGGGGGGGGGGTGGGAGGTGGGCTTACAGCCCTAGAGCTAGTAAAGACTTGAAGTTTTAAACTTTCAAAAAGGATTATGCCAAACACTTGAACATGGCTCAAACCTCTTCCAGTTTCATTATTCTTGGTTGGTTTCATGCAAAAAAGAGTATCATGGCACAAAAGAGTGAAAAGGTGATTTTCACGCAATCCAAATGAATCTCTCATCATGGAGAAACTGGTGAGAAATTGTCCAAGTTGTCCATCAGAGGAAGGACTGCTTTATCAGCTTTATCAAGGTTTTCCTCTTCTTTCAATATATCGTTTCTCCTTTACAATTTTTGTAGGGTTAGCAATAGTTGAACCACGAGTCCAAATAATAAGTCCAATAAAGAACCAAATTATCAAGTCCAACCAGTCCGTCTTATTTAACTGTACTGTCAGTTTGGAAAAGAATGTCAGTGGAACAATTCAGTGGAACAAAGATGGTTATTTCATTCCACCCGCTAAGAAATCTAAACATTGGGCAAGTTTTGAAATTGGTAAGTATGCAAGTGACTTTTTGAGTAAGAAAGTCAGGAGGGTTTTGGAGACTTTAATCTGAAGCAGTAACACCTAACAGTGATTAAAAAATCTGGGATAACCTATTGACCCTTCAACTCTAGGAAATGATTAACATGCAACTTCTCCCTTCAATGTCCTTACATTATACAGCATCAGGTAATGAGAACACTCAAACTCATCACATAGAATTTGTTATCTCAATCTAACACCTTCGTACTGTAACTAGCAATAGTTTACAAGGAAATGTGTGGAAGTTGGAAAGGGGAATCAACAATCAGATCTTGGGAGTTAAAGTGTTAACCATTTATATATAAATGGAAAATAATTCAGATTAAACTAAAAACCAAGTTTAGCTACATCTCTAATAAAACAATGTAGCAATGGGGGACTATGAATGAAATGAAATTTTTGATGATTAGGTGATAAAAATGTAGATAGAATAGAATGATGGATAGATAGCTTATAACAAAATTGAAATAACTAAAACTAACATTTCCCTTGTCTTCTGAGGGTTGATATATTGATGTTAATGCTGATTTTCTTGAAAGGGGGTCTCCAAGCACATAATGAAGGAATTTATAAGTGCACTTACTTGGATGGTGAGAGTGATCAAGTGGGAGTGTGCCTTGCAGGTAATATAGTTAACTGATGCTCAATGAATTAACTCCTTTCATTCCAACATCAATCTGCATATTCTTTGTATTGTTCTCTATTCATTCCCTAAGGTGCTGAAAAGGAGAATATGTCGAGAGCTTTGCATGTTTGTCAGGTTGGTTCAAGGAAGGACCAACAGAGGAGAGGCCTCTCTAATACAATTCACTGTATTTTGAAATCTTCCCTGCATGTAGAATAATTTATCTTGAGCAGAAACCCCAAGAAAACTTCACTTATCTCTCATTCTTTGGCAACAGAGAGCTAGCTATAATGAAAACAGTATGAATTCCATTCCACTAATAGATATAACATTTTTAGTTTTGTTGTTGTAACTTACAGAAAAACCACAGGTGTGGCCTCTTTACCACACCAGTCCAAGAAATGTTCATTTGGATGATGACCCCACACTGAGCTGTTTTGCTATGGGATGTCCAACACCAGACATCATTTGGTTTAAAGATAATTTACCATTAACTGCACCAGGCAAAGAACATCACTTTTCCATTGACACCAAGACACCCCAGATTGGAAATCGTACATCAGACTTGACGATAAAGGAAGTTCAATTTGATGATAAAGGGGACTATGTTTGTGCAGCTCATAATGCTCTTGGAAGTTACAACTACACAATATCACTTTATGTTACAGGTAATGCTGTATTATATTTACTAATGATGCTGGGATCAGTTATGTGTTTCACATCTATGCCAGTTGCAAAATAATTGTTAAAAATTTAAAAATATGATGTTAAATACAAAGCAAAGAATGGAGATAGAAACAAGTGGAAACTTAAATCCAAGCTAGGTGTCTACAATTTGCCCTTATGAATTTTGGACAGCTAGTGCTGCTGCATCACTTAACATTTATTTTACAAACTTTTATGCTGTACTTCAACCCACAACAGCACAAATTAATAATTGTAACTTATTTTTTCATTATTTTATATTATTCTGTAAGAGCTGAACCAAATACTTTCTCTCCACTTACTGCTTAACCTTAATTATTTGATTTTGCAGAAAATAAGAAAGGATATCTTCCCACAATAGAAGCAGAGAAACTGAAGTACACTGCTAAAGTTGCTACCGATGTAACCCTCTTTTGTGTGGGTGAAGACGTCAAAAATGTCTTTAGCACCTTTGTTTTTTGGAAATTCAAAGGAGAAACACTCTTAAATTCTAGTAAACACTACACAGTAAATGATTTTTACACCCATCAGACAGGGAGTACACCTAAAGTACGAACAGCACTCACCTTGTTAAACTTGAGCTATGAGGATAGTGGAAATTACTCTTGTGTGGTGAAATATGGACGTGGCATTGAAAGTGATACAGTTATACTTGAGGTGGTTCCAAGAGGTATGAAACCATTTTGTTATATAATGAATTAAATAGGATAATGTGATTGACTTGGGTGTGGCACCTCCAAAGAACTGTTTTGCCAATCATGACTGATGTTTGATCAATATTTGACCATGCCTTTTGATTGATTGTATTTTTTTCCCATGGTTAGTGGCACAAGTGGCATTTGACACATTAACCCTCACCCTTAAAAATAGTACTTCTTTTAAAATTTACTTTGTGCTACTTTTGAGAGAACCTAAGCTTACAAGCCATAATGGATTTTATTTTGTTTCCTTGCTCTTAATCTGGTATTTTTTTCTTTACCAATTGTTACATTTTACATGTAATGGCAAATGGAATAAATAAGTTTTGTACTGATCAGTGATGGTACACTGAAAATGATAGCTGCAGGATAGGAATTCAGGAAGCCACCACCTAAGCTCACCCCCTTTCCCCCCCCCCACCCATACCCCATCCCCTTCCCCTACCCCCTCCTTCTTTGCCCTACCCCCTCCCCCCTCCCCCCTTTTACCTTAAGGTCTGCATCCACTGCTTTATGAATTAAAATATTTTTGTTTACATCAGAATGCTTGATAAACACTAATTTTTGTTTCAAACCAAAAATTGAGATATTTGGGTGTAAAAAGCTATGAGTGAAATAAGGTAGCTAGGCCATTTGATTATTTATTTATTTTGTAACATTTTTACAACATTTGAAAGAACTGCAGTGGTTAGTAATCATTCATTACTTTTTAATCTCCAGATGGCAAGATGAAACTATGGTTGATTATTGTCATTTCTCTTGTGGTGTTTTTGGCACTGGCTCTTGTGGTTTTAATCTTTGTTTTGTGGTGTAAGAAAAGACACTGGCAGAAAATGAAAGCTGCTGCTGAAAAATGTAAGCAACTCCATTTTGATGATAAAAACACATAGCACAAGGGCATATTATACTGCAAGTCATCAGGGGCACAGTGAATATGACAATTATTCCCTCTTTCCTTGTGCAATCCCTAGCTTAGGGGAGTAGAAAAAATATCCTGGCCTTTGATGAACTCAGGCAAGTAAAGTATTTGGTAAAGAGCTCTGAGTTAAAGTTGTGCATATACACTTTTAGGGAAATTCTATTGACTGGCGCCGTGGTTTTTTTTTTTTTCGTAAAAAAGGCACTACTTACAACTGACATTTGTGAAGAGATGTTTCTCTCTTCTTTGCGGCAGGGATTTGTTGGTCCCCTTTAGCACTCTCTCTCTCTCTCTTTTTTATTTTGGGGGGGGGGATACTCTGTTTTGCACAAGCCATGTAATGTGCCCATGACTCCCCTCAACGTGGAATTGTTGCCAGGTGTACCTCGTTTTAAAGGTTATCAGCATGGCTCAAAGTGCCCTTAGATGTATCAAAATTAGCATGCTACTTTTGAAAAAACCATTCTGCATCAGCGCTCCCGTCTTCGCTGGAAATCTCCATGGAATAATCACGACCAGTCATGAATTGCAAACTGTGATGACGATGGTATAGCATTTGGCTTTGAATCGTGGACCACTGAAAATTTCAAGTAACGTGCGAGATTCGTATCACGTCATTCCCAGAATGCCAGTTCCCTTTTCGTTTGTCTGAGAATTGATTGTAGAGTCTAGACTTGATATTATTTCTGTTAGTTTTTCTTATGGAAAATCCCTTATGGTATATTTTGAGTTTTTTGGTTGAGTTACAATTTTGCTCACTTTTTTTTTCACAGATGATAATGAGGATGGCTTCTTCACAAAGGACGTGTTCATTTCGTACAGTGGCAAAGATTACGATTGGGTAAAAGAACATTTGATGCCGCTGCTAGATCACAATCAAATCGATTATATAATTCATTCGCGCGATTTTGAGCCAGGGAAAGCATGGATCGAGAACATGGCTGACAGTGTCTATAACAGCAGAAAAGTGATGTTGATCATGTCCGCGAACTACTTAGCCAGCGGATTCTGCAAGGATGAGATGTACATGGCCACTCACCGAGAGTCGGCGAGGAACGATGCTTCATTAATTGTTGTGCGCATTGACCCCAACATCAAAACCGCTGACCTACCAAAGATCCTACGGCACCGCACCTTCATCGACGTGACCAGTCAAGAGGAAGTCACCACTTGGAAGGGGAGGATTCTAGAGTACGTGCGCTCAGATAGTAGACCTGTACCCCTTCCCCGGTCTGCAATCGAAAGCGTTACGTCAAACGAAAGCATGCAATTTTCAGAAACGAGGACTCTTCTCTCTATTTTTAAGTTGAAGAAGAAAAAAAGGGTGCAGAAAAATCTGAGTAATGTTGAACGAGAGCTTTCTCATCAAGTTTGATGATGACGTTGATTCACGTCATTGTTTGGCAGAGCTTTGTAGCCTCGTTAGGGTAGTTTCGTCAGGTATATCGCCCGATACTCGACCATACTTGATCAACGGTCAGTCAAGATTTTTGCAAAATATCGATATGCAATCGGTATCGATCGATGCAATTGTCGACTTTCGACCGACAATTGAGCTATTATCGACTAAGTATCGAGCGACACATCGGATGAAACAACCCTAGCGAAAAATTATCCGATCAAAGGTCAGTGTCCATCATTTCGCCATCATACGGTAAAAAAAAATCCCGTCAAGCATGAATTGAAGTTTTTAGATCTCTTTAGCATGGACTTCGATCATTGATGTAGCATGAGGTCCTTTAGTTAAAACTGTACTGTGCAGTATAAATTCAGGCAAGATTTGCGCGCGCTCATGGGTGTGAAGGGTTTTCTTGGATAAGGTTCAATGGTTTCCTCGTTTTAATACTCTAAGTCTATTTGTAATTTAATCCTTAAAAGTTTTATTGGGGGTATTTGACTTTGACTGTTTTGACTGAGCGTCATTTTTTGAAAAATCTCAACGTTGTTTCTCAAAGTAGGTATGTCTGGATGATGCCGACCAGGTTTTGCTCAGAAGTTATCATTCGAATTTCGTTGTCGGTTTTTTGTTCTTCTTTTGTTGACGCAAACTATAGTTTGTTTTTATGACGCGAATTGTCCAGTAGGGGTGCAGATGGGGCTACCACGCCCAGTAAAACTAAACATATCTAATGTTAAATCTTAGAAGAAGTTAGCAGGAAGAGACGTTGTAGCAGAAGTGTTTGAAGTTAGTAGCGGCTTGTTAGAAGACGTAGACTTCGTGGTGTCTTCCCTTGACCTTGGTATGCTCGCCTTTTCCCCAAAACAACATTGCAACACACACGAGAAATGGTGACGCTTCCTTTCTTCCTTCCTTCCTAGTCAGTATGATAATCTAGTACCCAACCCGTGGAGAAATCTGGGATTATTCATTCCAATTGACTCCTCCTAAATCCTCTCGAGGCCTGATCAGGTGGTGTTAGGAATGCGGCGCAGGAGATAAAAGCGTGTAAGCCACGTACAATTGGTTTTGCTTGTACGTAACTGCTTGAAAAGCAGTTTGTGAGTATACTGGTAGAAAAAGGGAAACGATCGTTTACCAGTTCTGAATGTTCAACAAATTCAGCCAATGTTTCTCGCTTTATGATTTTTTTTCTGTCATTACTAATAATATTTAAAATAGTATACTGTTTTGTATACTTTGAGGAAAATGTTTGACCTTTTCCTTTGCTATTTAATTTATATGGTTAATAGATTATTTAAATGCAGTCAAAATTGCTCTGGCATGTTATTACTGACCTACTGGTCAACTGACACTAGTTTTTGAGTCCCAGGTTTTAGAGTAGTCGAAATGGAATGTCTAGCTCGTTATCTGATTGTAGATAATTCTTGCTTTGTACTGGATATCCATAGACTTTTGTTTTGTTTTATTTGTTTTTTCACAAATAAAAAGGTTAAAACTTTAATTTCAGAACTCTTTGTTAAGTCTTGTCTTAAGCTAAACAAAGAGCGCTCTACTGCCATTAGCAGTGGAACGCCAGTGGCAGTAGAGACTATAATCTAGTCTTAGGTCTGAAAAGGAAAAAGTCTTCCAGAGCGGACAACTTGCATAACATTCAGATGAAAGACAGCCTGTGACTGAACCACCCCGGCCACGAATCTTAGAAATGCTTGTGGCGTTCTACGGAAGGCGCTAACAATGAAAGAAGAACAAGCTTTATCTCAGTGTTACGCTCTTAGATATCAAGCTAGTAAGACCGTGGTCTTCATGTCACGCTCTCAATGTGTCTCCCCAAGCCTCACCCTTTGAATGGAAGATTTGTGTCGATTGCATTGTATGACACAAGGACCATGACAATTTGATTGTGCCAATTTAGTTTGTATACATACCAAGACGTCTTGGAGAACAAAAACATTCATCTTTTGGAAACAGAAAAAAATTATATCGATAAGAGCTTGATCACACAGATGTTCATATCTCCGACATCAGATGGTACTATTTATGAGTGGATGGCTCCAAATTCTCAAATGTTGTGTGCAAATTTCCAATGAACGGAATTATTGCATTATATCATTTATTAGGACATTGGATACATCTCAACATTCTGTAATCACAGAGACTGCTGGTGAAATTTGTGTCCTTATTTAGTTTTCGCGTGAAACGACTTTCGTTTTCGATACACGCAACAAAACGGAACGTTCTCATCCACCGCTCTCAGTGTCGACAGATTATCAGACATGCAGAGGGTTTATTTCTTTGTGCCTAATTTGATTGGTGAGTGAGAACATATTGCCTTCCGAAGATAAATGTTTTCGATAATTTGTCGGGGTATGCTCGATTTCTCTGGCAAGTGTCCAGTTCAACTTGTTTATCTAGCCAGACCTTTTAACCTTTGCAAGCTGTGTCTCGGAACCAAGAAAACGTGAGTAACAGGTAACGAGTAACGGACTGCGGGTAGCAAATCAAGGACCTCCTCTGATCTGATTCATGTAATAATTCTTCCCTATGTCCGTGAAATATTCTCTTAGAAGTAAGTCATAAGGAGAAACTTTGTGTTACATCTAGAAAGTCTTTAATTATAATGCTTAAACCAGAACAACTGATTTATGAACTAACAGCTGGGGTCACTTAGTACAGGGGAATGTTACTAGATGATGGGCCGCCGAGCGTGACCGACTTTTCTTAAAAGAAATAATATGTTGTCATCTTTGCGTGCACCGCGAGGAGAAAGTGAAGGGTGTCAGTTCTTTTTTCATTGTTCATTCACTTCTGTATTTCTTTACCCATTTTCACAGATTATGTGCGGATTATTCTAACTCTAGCGTCGTTTTACAACATGACGCGTAGGCCACTTCTTACTGTTGCACTTTATTTCACCAGTGGAATAATATTAGACGTTGCAGATGGAGTATCAGCTCGATACTTTGATCAATGTAAGTAAAGAGAGTTTATGATTGATGCCTAAGACGCAGCCCATTTGGACTGTTTAAACTTCTTCATTAAGCCAATAGTGAAAGTTACTATTTATTTTTGTTCTTGTTTGATTCTAGGTTCCAAATTTGGAGAGTTGTTGGATGTTCTTCTTGACAGGTATTTGTACCCTGTAAATTTTTTTTCCAGGGTCCTGTAAGGCACTCATGGACACACACCCTTGCCAACGTCATGATCTTGAACCGCGTTGTGAGCAAATGCCACAGTCATCCCATTATTTTCAGGAATGGTTGAAAGAAAGACAGACATGGTATTAAAAGTAAATAGGCCAAATTTTAATTGCAGTTTCATTAGGGGCGAGGAACTATGATATTTACCAACATATACTTGCTCCTATCTTGTGGTTCTTCTCAGGTGTGGCAGAATAGGAATGATGATGGCATTGTGTACCTTCTACCCTCAACACCTGTTTTTATTACAGCTGCTGGTTTGCTTAGAAGTCACAGGGAGTTTTGCAAATCTTTACAGGTACAGACTGTAGTTTTCCCGTTATATTGTTGCCATGTCTGCGACGAAAATAGAACTAGACGCTGATGTGTTACCAAACTAGATAATTTTGGAGTGGTAGACCTTCGTCAGAGCGAATTAGTTAGCCCTTCGTCATTAGCTTTAACAAAGGGCTAACGCTCGAAACTTCAGCTTAGAAACTCTTTATGGTGGCCAATTCACATTATGGACTCAGCTGATAAAATCAAAATATCTTATCATACTGCCCTACTGACACAGCACCACAGTTTCTTTAGAAACTTACCCATTTACTCATGCGTTACCAAACTACTTCGGGTTGTCATAAACTTTAAGTGTTTTTTTCTGGTTTTTTTTTTTATAACAATCACCTTCAAACTTCTCGTTCTGGCTGTTTTATTTGTCTTTGTTCTCTCTCTTCTTCCCTATACAGAATTTGATAATGTTCTCAATGGTGCATACTTTGTGTGACACCATTCTTTGCCAAATACTTTCGACAGATGTGCGCTGATAACACATTCAGTTGATGTTTCTGCAAAGACACGCTCGCAAGATCCATGGCTGGTGAGGATTTTCTTTAAGGAAGTAAGTCAGCTGGTTATTATACTGTGATTTAGTCTGTAGTTTTTCCAAAATTGAAGAAAGATTTTTTCAAAAAAAATTCTCAGATGAGAAGGTTCTAATGTGATTTTATGATTTATCAAATATATTTTTCAAAGGCTTTTTCTCTTGAGGAATTGAGAGAGCGCTGGTAATGTGAATGAGGTCGGAATTATATTCGTTGGGAAAGGAACTGAATTTCACAGCTTCTTGGCTACAATTTAACTTCAAAGTTTATCCGCCTCCTCACCTCGCGGAGCAAATTCTCTGTGAGTCGGAGATTCGTTGTCTATCTCTCTCAAGAACACCACAAAAGCGCCACCAATTCTGTTCCTGTTGTTTTAACTTTGATGTTTTAATTTTTTTTAAATCACAGCCCATTACAACACTAGTAATTGTTGGCCAAGACGTCTGTGTTGCTATGCTGTATCTCCTTCACTTTTCTCCAGGACCGATGGGTACGCCAAACTTTAACTGAACTTATAGGTTTGGGAGATATTTGCGAGAATTTCTGTCTCGCTTGATCACCGGTCGAATGGCGAAAATCATTCTCGTAGAACTATTTTTGCCTAACCTTTTCTTATCTGATTTTGTTTCTTCAGTTTCCCTTGGTGGAACCGCGCACAGTCTTTGGATGCTACTGGCTCAGATTTGTTCTCCTTTTTTAATCTATCGTCAAGTGATTGTCTGTTTCCTTTTGCTCCTTCGATTACTTGGTGACTTAGCTGAACTGCATCATCAGCAACCGAAAAGCGATAAAAAACCTAAGTGATAGCAGTAACGCAAGTATACATTACTGCGATCAAGGATGAAAATAAACGCGAGAAAATAAAAATTATCACAACATATCCAGTGCTAGTGCTATACTTGGTTTTGTTCAATAAGACAAACATTCTATCATGCGCGAGATTCTCTTAAAATTTTGTTTAATGAGGACCAGAGCGTTGATCACTCTTGTTTTATGGGTAATGTAAAGATCTGCCGTCGAGTTAGGTAAAGCTTAGCGTGGAGGGGAAGGGGGGGAGGGAGGGGTCCCAGTGTGTCCTTGGTCCCTTCGTTGTCAGATATAGATATAAATCATATAAATCGTTTTGCGAAAACGCGCAGATTAGAAGAATCTACATGACTTACATCTTTTCCAGTGATGGACACTTCTTGCCGCGAATAGCAGCCTCAGGGCTCATGCATAAGAACTCGGACGGTATAAACCTTATAACTTTAAAAATCGTGGAAATTCCTAGTTCAAGGAGTGCTCTCTCCCTTCCCCTGAAAAATTCTTAGTAACGCCTCATGCGAAGGTGTAACGTTACTAAAAATAAAAGAAAAAGTGGAGAGAACTTGCCCTGATGCCAGAAAGAAGCTGGCTTGTGATTCCCTCTTATTATGAAATCCTTCCCTCTCATTAAAGTCGCTACGTCTCAAGTGCCAATAAATGTACACTGTAAGTCGCTGAAACACCTTTTTAGAGATGGGAAACTTGTCACGCATGGAGAAAAAAACCTGATTGAACAGTGAACGGTATATTGAAGGTCACCGAGCCATGACTGTAATGAGTAATTTAGTGTTAACAACTGAGTTGAAAACGTCAATTGGCTACCTTAAAGGGTAGCTTTTTTACCCTTTACGGTGGCCAATTTACGTTTTCAACTCAGTTGTTAACACTAAATTACCTGCCATACCCTCCCACCGACGCACTACCACAGTTTCTTTAGAAACTTACCCCTTTTATTCATATGACTTTAATGAGACGGGTTTGGACTGTCAGAATATAACTCTCGCATTTAAAAGCTCCTTTAACGGTTATTTAAGTTGGCTCCCCTGAAAAATCGCGAGTTTTAGAGGTATGTTTTCGTCTTCTCTCTTATTGTCAATACATTACATTCACGAAAGTGCATTCTTTAGAAGACATTTGATCTTATTTAGCGCGTTGATGCTTTAGCCAATGAGAGAGAACTGTGTAATAGGGACTGATGTACAATTTGTTGGGGTTCTATACATCCATACACTTTGTTGGGGCAAAGTATTGGGGCTTTCTTGAGTGGGCGTGCAAAACGGTCGACATCAAATCTATAGATCCTAGATCTCCAGAGAATAGGATATCTAAAATAAAAAAAGTAAATACGATCTGTGAAATTCACGAACGAAAATTTGTGGGAAAGAGTGAGGTCGATTGGTTAGTGAGTTCTTGGTAGGGAGGTATTCTGAACACGCAATCAAAGAGATAAAAGTCAGCGAACATTCGTTACATTATGTTTCCTCTTACACCACGTGCTTGGCTCATTGAATTGATCGACCAAGCGCCCTTGTCCTTAATAATTGAAAGCATTGGTCTTCATTTTGGAGAAGTTTTGGGGTTTACTTAAATCTTGTCGGCCAACCTGAGCTTTTGATTATTAAGCGGTCTACGAAAACCATTTCATCGAAGAAAAACCTGGAATCGAACAAACACGAGTTTTTTGTTAGCGTTCTCACTCTTCAACCGGCATCATGACGAGTCTGTGGATGGGAGATGTAAGACGCATTTTTTTTTTCTAGAGCGAAATTACAGGGACATATGCTAAATTACAGGGACATATGCTAAAAATTCTGTTTGTATCGTTGACAGCTTGATAGTTACATGGAAGAAGCCTTCATCACAAGTGCTTTTGCGGCGATGGGAGAAGCTGTGGTGTCCGTAAAGATGATAAAGAACAGAACAACAGGGTAATGTTCTCGCCGTGGTGAAACTATCAAACTATACATGGCCACTGACTTACTACCTAACGGGGAAAGATTTCCTTGTAACCTCGTACTGTTTTAAAACAAAGCCGTAGTCCCAAAGGCAATCTGTTGTTTTTGCCGTTGTTCTTTATCCAAGGACTGAATACAGAATGAAGTTTGAGGCTATGCGGAAATCTTTCCCCAAACGGAATCACAAAATTATCTTCAGTGGTCTTCAAAGCTTGAGGGCATTGTGAACTTCGGTGGCAATATTCTGACTATGTAATTGCCCACTTATTTCCCAGAGCTTTCTTCTTATTTTCCTTTTCAACCCTGACAGAGGATAATTCTGCACATAAGCCATGTAGCCCAAGCAACTACTTTTCTGTGTTCTGAATACAAAATATTGTCAAACTTGGCAAGATAAGAAGACAAAAGACTGGCTAAAACTAGTGGGAAGGAGACAAGGAAGGGGTCAGCTGCACCCCCCCTCCCTTGACACAACCTACCCAGAGGGCCTTTCTCCTCAGAAAATGGGATTAAAAAAATTGGTGAAGTCAGCTCTACAGACAAATAGACCTCACTGCAAGAGTTTATTCCACTTAAATGGAGCAACTATTAGTAGAAGCACTCTTCTTAAGCAGGGTGGTAGCCAGTCTTGGAGCCCTCCCTCCCTTCACCACTGCAAGATTTTGTCAAGTTTCTGTGATTATATGTATGGACAAAAACCATTATTATTATTGCTGGATGAAGAGAGATTCTGAAAGAATCACTTATCTTAAACTCAAACTGGAACATGATGTGATGAACTTTAACCCTTTAACTTGCAGGAATGACTAACATATCAATTCTCCTTGCAATTTTATTTATAACATAGCTAGTAAATTTGTGTAATCAAATTCAATTGCACGAGCGTGCTTCATATTCCTAATGTGCACGCTCATGATGTCAGCAAACAAATCCCTCGAGAAAACAAATTTTCTATCAAGTTGAAAATGTCATAAAACAATTGGTTCATACATCAGCTGTGCGTTCATCAAGATATGAAGCACTTGGGAAGTTTGGAGAGCACTCAAGAAGCTAGAGTTGCTCAAGGCGTAGCTGACAGCAACTCTTACGCATCTGTTTGGCAGATTTAGCTTTTAGATCTGGAAATTAAAGGGGTGACCAGAATTTGAACCTAGTACATTTATTGATCTTAAGTCTAGTAGAGCAAAAATTCTAGTAATCAGATCCAGACTTATAATAAGTCACATGCCAGAATAATGACAATTAATTGCTCTGGCATATGAAAATGCCAGAAGATTTGTTTGTGTTCATAGCCACATAAAGTTCTCTCAGCCAAATTATAATCACAATCTTTGGAGGGGTTGAGTGAAACTGATTAGCTCACTATGCAAGTGTTAAGCATATTTATAAACATATTATATTTGTTTCCAGGACTCCAGCTGGTTACTGTTTTGTTGATTTTGGTGATTATACAGTATCACAGAAAGTTATGGGAAAACTGAATGGATTGCCAATTCCTGGAAGCAATCCAGTGAGTGACTCTAATGACCAGATATTAGAAGTTTAACAACATTGATTGTTTCAAAAATTATTTTTACCAATATCACAGAACAACCTTTTTACAAGAACCTTCCATCTAAGAAATTTGAAACAGATGCACTCAAAAGGAGCTGCCTTATTGGAAAAAACAGAGATCTACATGTTGGTTGAGATATTTATTATTAGCTCACCAAAGAGTTCTCTGCTGAGAATTGGATTGCAAAATCCAACAGATTGAGGTTTAAATCCCTTTAGACAACTTGCTCTCTTGATCTTACAGTCAACACAAAATTAATGAAATCTTTCTTTGTTTTACAACCAGGCAGGCTCAAACTTTACTAGTTTCTTTAATTATACTTTCACCCACAACACTTCCAACCAAGCGAATCCTTGCAATATGCTGAACAATTTTTCACTTAATATGAACCTTGTACACGTATATGGCCTTGGATTGTGAAATTTAAAAGTGTGAAATCTGAATCCTTGTAGGAAACTCATAATGTCTTAATTAAAACTTGTTTTTAGTTTCCTTTGAATTATTGGGTAGTATTGAACTACATGGTTTACATGTTTACTTTTTGTGGAACAAAGTCTTTAAGAGAAATAATTGTGTCCCTTTCTCTGTTTAACTATTTTCTTTCTCTCTTTCAGATAAAGCGTTTCAAATTGAACTGGGCTACCTACGGCAAGGACTCATTCACCCAGTAAGTACTTCTTATCCTGATTATTTACTGAGTGCTGCTCGTCAGGACAGTGTATTTACCATGGCCAGCCAGGTTGTGGCCATTTTGCTGGGGCATACTGTAGTTTTGTTAGCATGAAGAAACTAAGAGTATTGTGACTACTATCTGTCTTTTGCTGGTTACCCCTGACAAAGCTCTGACAAAGGGCTAATGCTTGAAAATTTCAGCTTTGAAACTCTTAATGGTGGCCAATTTACATTATCAACACAGGTTTTTTTTTTTTTCTTTTTTTTTTTAAACAATTTTGTTCTGACCTTTCATTTACACAGTTACAATTTTACATTCATAAAATAGGTTAAAAATGATAACAATTCGATATATCTAACAATCTTACGCAGTTACCCTATTTTCAGCTTAAGAAATTAAACTAATTAAACCAAGCAACATAACGTAAAAAAAAAAGAGAGAAAAAACAGGATAGAAGGCAAATCGGCTTAAGATTTTTTAAAATTATTAACCATTCCTTTTCATTTGAATATCCATTTCTTTTCAAAGAAGTTTTTCTTATTTATTTTTCTTTCAATTTCATATTTGATAGCTATCTTGTTCTGATAACCTTGTATTTTAGGGTGTATTTGTTTTCTTCTGCAGTCCCACAAAAACAGTTTTCCGATAACAATAAAGTAATTTAGTAAAGTATGAGTAGAGTAGTACTTTACTCAACTACTCATTATCAACACAGTTGATAATTCTAAATTACCTTGTTATAATCTCCCACTGATGTAACACCACAGTTTATTTAGAAACTTACCCCCTTTACCTATGGGCTGGACAGGGGCACCTCGCAGTTTGTTGGTATGCATTAAATACACACCTGGGTGGATACAAGTACTATGAAAACAAAGGGCCTTGTCTTAGAATGCAACACATTGATCAAGTAAAGTGTCAACCCTAGATCTCTTGACCTGAAGTTCTACTTACTCACTGTTAGGGCCATCGTGCAAAACACTTGACTGACATAGTCTGCCTGTAGTTTTTTAAAATCTTTCTTTGAACTTGACTCTACAGGGGGCCAGAGTATTCAATATTTGTTGGTGATTTATCTCCTGATGTTGCCGACCATGTTCTGCAGGTAAAATATAGTCACATAAGGTATAAACAAATTGGACTTAAGCAATGGAGTGGCTCTTTGTCCACTGTTTTCCCAGGTTGAATTTGGAATTTAAAAGTTTGGTTTTTAAGGACAGAGGAAAGTGGAGAATGTAAGGAAAAAGCCTCAGGACAGGGAAATGAAATGGAACCAACTCAATGAACATGTGAGGCTAGGCCATGATGTTGGATGGCAGGTCTCTTATCTGTTCATCATCCCTCTTCCCTGTGTATCTTGAGAAAGATTTTAGATTAGTGATATTAAGGAAATATCAGCAAGCTTGTTTACAGTTATCTGAAGACAATGAAACCCCTCTTTTGAGACATTGCTCTTCAGGGTATACCTCCTTTCTACCAGTGGTCATGGACTTTGGTTAAAAGTGAAAAAAAATGCTGCTATAACATTTGTATCGGACATTTCACTTTGAAAGTAACTTTTTTCAGGTGTCACTTTTGATAGTCCTAAATGTGTTCCCAATTTTGAGAGTTTACGGTATTTTAATGCCACATCCAAGGAGTAATGCTCTTCACATGATCTTCTCTTTAATGCCCAAAAGACTGTACATTTATGGGGTCAGTTATGGTGTGTGGTACATGTAGATTAAGTTATCTGAGGTAGAGGTTGTTGAATTCATAACTCATCTATATTTTTATTTGTCATAGGAGTTCTTCCAGAGAAAATTTCCCAGTTGTAAAGCTGCCAAAGGTACGAATATGTGGTTGTTCTGATTGTAGAAAAAGGTTTACAGGTCAGGCTATAGCCTCTTAACTGAGATCATGAAAGCTAGACACTGAAACCTTTAGGCTAAAAAGAAGGTGGTAGCTTTTATTCAACTGTTAGTGATGATAAGCACATATGACACAGGTGAATAGTGCTTTTCACATGCACTGAGAGGCTTTTTTTGGAAGTTATCAGCAAGTACTATTCACCTCAGAGCAACCAAAGAGAAAAAAATTATGCATCAAGAGTCAAATTCCCAACAATTTTTTGTTACATTGAAAGAAATAAATTTATTGTTAAATTTTTTTGGTTTCTCTATAGCATATAATGAAGTTATTATTCACTTCAGTGTTGGTAGAAGTGATGGATATATTCCGTGTCGCTCTGCAGCTCGATAAATTTCCATCACCATTCACTTACAGTTCTGCAAATAATTGTAAGTTATAACTGAAGTTAACAGTCAAATTTTAATGTAACTGTTATTGTTTTTTTCTTTGTAGTTGTTTTGGATGCAGCAGGAAATTCAAGGTGTGTTTAACAATACTAAAAGTAAATTTAATTGTTTAAGTATACTAACAGGAGAAAACCTTAATCACGGTGAATTTACATGTTGCTAGTGAAAAGTCAATTTTGAAGGTCAAAATGTTCAGGAATTAATATTATTTGAGGCCTTGATAGTCTCGGGTAAGGGTTGCATGTGTCAGTCTTAGTTAAAGGAAAACATGATTGCATTCATGATTATAAACTCTGATTTCTGTTCACATGTTCAACTTTCTTAAATTAAAAACAATTTCTTTCTATAGAGGATATGGATTTGTGAGATTTTCAGATGAAAATGAACACAGAAAGGCCATGATAGAGATGCAAGGAGCAGTGGGGTGTGGTTCAAAACCTCTCCGTGTCAGTGCTGCAACACCCAAAAGGTACCGAAACATTTAATCTAGACTTTTCATAATTTTCATCTTCCCTAATAATACACTTCACTAGTTTTACAGAGCTCCTTCCAGGAAAATTGCATGTGTGCACATCATTAATTGCAAACTCATTGAACTTGAGTTGAGGATACAGTTGAAAAAAATTCATTTATTTTGGTTCATCAGGCCTCAAAATACTCCAGGAAACACAACAACAACATATGGCTCTGCTAGTGCTGCCAATCAGCAATACATGCAGCAGTATCAGCAATACCAGCAATATCTGGCAGCATGGCAGGGATACCAGCATCAACAACAGCAGCAACTCCAGCAACAGCAGTATTACCAACACTATCAGCATTATCAGCCTTATGGACAGACTACTTACCAACAGCCGATGGTATGTTTTACAAAGAGCCAAGAGTGTGTTTTACCTTCTAATAATGTACAGAAAAAACAAGTGCTTTGTATTGGCTGAAAATGAGTGCATTCTCATGTAACACAAGAGCAAAGTTGTAGCATGAGTGAAAATTACAAATAGCACGCACATGCTTTCAAAATTTTGTCTGTCTTGACTCTCTATGGTGTTTTTTCATGTACATTATTAACAAGTAATAACATGAGTGCAATTTGGTGTGATAAGCACTTGTTAATTTTGTTGTCTTTGAAAAATTTACTTGTGCTTATTAACACCAAATTGCACTCAAAATCATGTTATTACAAATACTTATCAGACACCTTTTAATGTATAATTGTTACAGGGTAATATCTTGTGAATGAACTTTTTTCATAGGTTGTGGGTGTAAACTGATGTGGTGTGACATGATTGGAAATTTTTGCTAGGAAAAAATTGTTGTGATTTTTTGTTCAAAAAGCAAAACATTAACCCTTTACACCTTAACCCTATAACTCCCAGAAGTGATTAACATAAAACTTCTCCCAACAACATCAATACATTATTCAGCAAACAGATAATGAGAATATTCAAAGTTATCGGGTAGAAGCTGCTATCTTGATCTAACACCAAGTTCTCATAACTAATTTACAAGGAAATGTGTCATAGCTAGAGGGGAGAATTAACAATCAGATCTTGGGAGTTAAAGGGTTAACATCAGTATGCAAGTTCTCCATACTGTTCTGTGTGTTCAACCATCAAGAGCTTCTTGAATTCCCAAATATTTTTTTTATTCTCATGACTTTGATGTTTGAATCAGGGGTGATACTGTTTGGAGAAATTAGATGCTTATCACCCTTCAGTTAGATGCTTATCATTCCTGGTTAAAGGGTTAACTATTAGGATGAAACATAATGTTTTAACACTTCTTGACATGTCCAATGATAGAGAGGAATGCTACACAAAAGATGAATCTTTTATAAATATTTCCAGTGATACAGAAAGAGATGAGTATGAGTGAAAGATGATTAGGAGTGGCAAACCCAAGGGGGTGGGGTCTAGGGGTGTGTTTGTTTGTTTGTTTGCTTTTTTTCACTATTTATCAAACACCAATATTCTTGTAACAAGAGGATTGTGTGTTACAATTCAAGTGAAGGATTTCATATTTACTTGTGTTGCAAATTTCCGAGCTTAGTTAGGCTGTATTTCAAAAACAAATTATTCTGTTTTCTGAAGTACATTCCCCCCCCCCCCCTTCATACTTAGATCTGCCTGCGGGAGTAATGGGTATGAAAGTACTTAGGAAAAGAGCCAAGAAGCACATTTAAGACACTTCACATGACTGCAATACATGATAATGTAAAAGCAAGGATAACTAAAAAAAGTTACTTCTTTGATTTGTATTGTCAGAGTTATGAAGAAACCATAACAGTTGATAACACAGCAGAAGGTATATATAATTTAACGATAGATTTTATGGTATGAAAAGGACATACTGTGAATACAAATGCAAGGGAGGAAGATACTCACTGAAAATTGAGTGGTTATTATCAATTAAAAGCACTTTGCAATAAATTCTCATTTAAAATTTCTATGTCTGATGAAGATTTCTCTCAATTTTAAAGTTTGTAAACTCAGCTGAAAATAATATGCTTGATGTGTATCACTTTGAACAGTAAATCAATGTTAGTTAATTGACAGGACTACATTCTTGATAAGTTTATCTCTAAATAAATGCTCTGCTCTTCCAGATCCCAACCCACCATTGGACATCACTGCAGAAAATAAAAATATAATGTCAACAGAGGAAGTAAGTGTTTTGATGTTTACTTTTAATTTATCGAAAAACAGATTGAATCTTGAATCAATAGATAATTTCTATGTTGTGGTTCAATTTATCTTTTGCTTTAAAGTTTCCAAAATGATTTTTGAAAATTGTATTTTCCTTTTTCTTGTATATATTACATAACCCTTGAATCTCACAATGTGTAACTGACAAGAGGCTTACATAGCTGGCAATATTTTTGGAACTTTATTAAAACAAAAGAAGGTTGCTAAGTCACAGAGGTCAGAAGCAGAGGTTTTAGGGGAGAAATTTTCTCATTCCTCTGTCTCTTGTGGCTCTTCCAGTTAAAAAAAAATCCTACCAGACAACCACTGTAAAGGGTGGTTCAAAGGGAAGTAAGAGAAGTGATTAACATATGACTTTTCTCTATAATATCCATACGTTATCAGGCGTTCAGGTAACGAGAGGACTCAAACTTATCAGGTAGAGGTTGTTCTTTTAATCTAACACCAAATTCTGGTAACTAATTTATAAGGAAATGTGTAGCAGATAGAGGGGAGAATATTAACAATCAGATCTTAGGATTTAAAGCGTTAATTGCAAGATAGTGTGGGCACAGAAATTTAAATGATCCCTTTCTCCAAATATCTGATTATTTTCCCTCACAAGCTTTTCCCTCCAAGCTTGTTCATCATTTCTTTGCTAAATATTTTCTTGTTGTATTGATCTTCAAATGAGTTACTACCTGGTTATCAAGTGTAGGTCTTAAAGGTTAAACTAGACCAAACAAAATTTAAGCCTTAGTTCTTTCTCTACTCAAGAGACCCCTCAGATTCAAACAAAAACTCTATTTAGTGGCACCACAGGTTAGACAATGGCTAAAGACAGTTTGCCTCTTTGATACAGTAGATGAACCTCAACAGTAATGTCCATGTTTGCTTTGAATTTGAATTTGTGTGATTGGTCCAGGAAACTTGAGCCACTTTTTCAATAATCAGATCCAAAAGTAACACCATTTGTGACATGGTCACTCGCATTTTCCTGCACTTCAAGAAGTTTTTCATTTCTCACTTTCAATTCTCACTGGCTCTTTGGGATATTTTCCTTTGCTCTGTCTGGCTGTTGTGTTAACCATAGACTTGATTCACAACGCTCAATTGAAATTGCTCCATTGTATATTTTGTTCCTTAACAGGAGTTATACCATGAATTGGAGCAATCAAGATGGCAGCCAGTAGAGACACTAAATTCAGGACACAAATCTCTTGTGACATAGATGACAAGAAACTTTAAGTGTTATATTCTTGGATTCTCAACTGACCCTGTTGTTAAAGATACTTTGACACTTCAATTTATAGTCAAATGCCCAGTGATTCTTCTACTTCTTAAGTTTTAGTCAGCATATTGAAATTTTAAAATATTGGAGACTTATTCATTGTTGAGAACACTTAAATTGATTTTATTTCCAAAGTTTTGTTTGGGGCCTCTCTGTTAAGGTATTGCTATGGTTATGGTTCAAGGTTTCTTGTCAGGATAAAACTTTATTTTTTTTGTTTTCAGTTGGTATTGTTTTGTATGGTAATATGTTTTACTAATGGGAAAATAAATTACAACAAGGATTGCGTTGAACTCCAACCTGAGAATCTGAAGGATATAGCGATTGACTTTCTGTTAGTTAACCCTTTAACCCCAAAGAATTACTAGCATCTAAATTCTCCTTACAACACCAGCACTGAATCACACATTAATGACATGAGAATAAAGGAAATGACCACCAACTAAAGAAACTCTGATTATTAGACAAATTCTCCATGTCAACACCTTAGTAAATGTACAGAGAACAGTATGGAGAACATGAATACTGATGTTAGAGTGTAAAAGGGTTAATGTTCTGTTGTGCTTCAGGAGGGCTCTTTCAAACCAAAGATACATAATACAGTACTAAAACATTTTGTCACAAATATTGGAGGAGATAGCATCAAATATCAAATGCGTCATTTGGTTTCTAGTTTTTGCTCAGACATGTTTGCTATAGGTGTTACCCTACCAAACCTCTTCTTAGCTCATAGAGGTTACCCCACCTCAGTAAACACCTTTAAGAAAATAAAACGTCATTTATTTATGCATCTGATAACTTTGACAATAAAGCTCTTAATTAGATTATTACTTTTCTCTAAAAATATTTTTTTAAAAATAAAAAGGGATAACTGGCAAAAATCTGATTTGCAACAGAACTCGGCGATCGTTTTTCAAGGTAACGCCAAATTTAAATTCCTAACAAAATCATTACAACTAGTAATCATTTTCATCGTACAAGTTTTCCGGTACTTAAGTCTTCCTTGTAGGTTGATAAATATACTTTCGCCCTCTTCTCGGAAAGAAATGTGACCAGGTAGGAATGTCAATGGTATTTTCTGAGAAATGTGTTCAATAGAAGACTTGCGTGATATGCTATGATGTATTCGAGCTCAAGTAAAGTCTAACCAAAAAAATTACTTCTTAGTAATAAAAACCGCCATTTTTTGGCTATTAGCGCAGCACGCGAGATAAATACGCAATATAAAATTTAAACAGTTTTGTACGGCGATAAGTCTTCGAATATTATCAGTTGTATATTGTCGATAATCCGTCAATGTCACAAGATATGTACACGTGGCGTACAGGTAAAGTACTAGTGATATCTTTCAAGGGCTCGACGTCTCATCAAGCAACTGTAACAATCCGTGTTAGGTACAATAAGCTAGACGCCAGACAAATACAAATGTTACAAATCGAAACGCTTCTCAGAGGGAGATAAGGTGCGTATTTTGGCAACCTCTTCAGACGACCTCACCAGATGACGGTCCACGTACTCATCAACGTTCAGAAGATACACTCCCGAAGCACGTTCACTACGAAGCGAACGACGACGAGATGCCGAAACTACTGGTTCCGAACGGACCGAGCTAGGAGAATCGATTCCACTCTCTTTGGATGGGTTTCGGTGCAAAGGAAACGAGGATTCCGCGACGTACTGTGAGATACTAGAACCCCCGCTAATACTGCCGTAAGTACGTTTTTTATGGGCGAGGCCTTGTTCTTGTGAAATACGACGCAAAGTTGCGTCGTTAGGTGCAGAAGCGAGTTCGGTCGTTATACGTGACACATCAATAAGACTGAAGGGATCCGCTGACCTTTCATGCGTTCCATTGGCTGTTGAAGTACGTGGATGATTAGCACGCGGATGATGAGCGCGTGGATGCGTGTATTCGTAGCTAAGTTTCCGAAGCCAACTAGTATCCAAGTCGACATTTGAATTGTAAAGTGACGACGGCGTGTTATCCATCGAAGTGAGATTACTCTTCTCTATTTCTTCTTGGTACGCTCCTCCTGCTGGTTGTTTTGGTGGAAACTTTTGCGCATCTGTAGCATCACCTGCCTGCAGTGCCGCACCACTTGCCGATATCTGTCTTAATTCTTCTTCAAGTCTTCGCCCCCAATCCTCCTCAAGGTTTTCTAAGCCTTCTACGGACTGCACGCTGTAAAGTTCAAGATCAGAATCGTCATCTTCCAATTCGATATCCCACGAATTCGAGTCTTTTGCGATACCAAGATCAGCGTCTGAATCATCCGAAAGTTCCAGCTTTGGGATGTGGACTTCCATGCGGCTACTTCCAGTTTGCTCCCGTTTCTTGGAAAATGAACGTTTGGATTTCCCATAATGCAAAGGCTCACGAGTGTCTGAAGTCGCCGTTCGATCGTTTGGTTGCTTTTCCCCGCGTGAGGAATAATCAGCCCTTTGGTTGAAAGTCGATGAGCTAGAGGTCCACCCATGTGATCTCACTTCATCTGCTGGTAGGTGGCTTGCCAGAGGAAAATTAACACGTGGTCTTGAATCGGCTACACCTACTGCTCTACTGGTAGTTCTACGGGAAGGTTGACGGAGCAGAATATTTTCAACTTCATCACGTCTCCTATTTTCGTCTAAAATTTCTCTTTCTCTGCTCAATTGGATCTCCTTCTCTTTCAGCCGTCCCATCCATTTCCTCTCCAGATCTCGTCTTTGATTGGACAATTCGCTCTCAAGCTGCTCTTTCTCTTTCATCTCCTTTTCTAATATTTGCTTTTCTTTAGAATGCCTCTCCAACGCTTGCTTTTCACGTGTAATCCTCGCGTTAAGGTCTTCCACTTGTTGACGCTTTAGCGCCAAGAGCTCCTTTTCACGTCTGATATTCTCCTCGATGATACTCTCATAACACTTTGATCTCGCACTGTCTGAGTTATTACTGCTATTTTGAGGACTAATTCCCGCTAATTGTCTAGATAGCTTTTCTTCTACCGCTCGGTGCTTTTCTCTGAGCTGCCAAAGCCTTTGTACCAGGACTCTCCTTTGCTCCTCCAGGTGCGTCAGTTGGCTTTGCAGCATTTCCTGTAGCCTAAGATCTGTAAATTCAGTGGAGTCCAGCATTTTCTTGATTTCGCTTATCATGGTCTCGGTCTCTTGAGCATGGTTTTTGATATCCTCCTCTTGTTTCACTTTGTTCTCCCTAAGTTCGTGAAGCATTTCCACCAGGCCGTCTCTGCTGAGGTGCTTTTCAGGCGATAATGACACCGACATTACACTGCTGTTGTTTACGGTGGCCTTGCTTGTATCGCCAAGCACTCCGAACTTCGTTTTCAAATCTAAGATTTCCTGTCGCAGTTTCAATTCCAGAGTGTTTTTCTCCTTCATCAACTGCTCCATGAGTTTAATGAGTTGTAGCACATGAGATCCTTCGCTAAATACTGTCGACTCTCCAATTCCGTTCATTACATAAGGTGAAGTGTTCATTAGTTTCTTCAGATTTTCATTTTCACGTTTTAGTCTTTCATTTTCAAGTTGCAGCTTTTCTAGTGTTTTCTGACCGCCGCCAAACGAAGTTCTTCGGGACTTTGCGATTTGTTCTCGAAGTTTTTGGTATAGTTCGGAGTTTTCTCGTCGGAGCTTTTTCAGGTCTTCGGTTGCCTTACTTAGATCCTTTTGACACCCGAGTGCCTCTTCTTTACATGTATCGATACGATCGAGAAGCGTCTTTAAGTCCCTCTGAAGACCCTTGACCTCCAAGTCTTTCTTCTTCAGTAGCTCTTCGCTTTCAACAATTTTTGAATGGTACTGTTGGCGAAGGGCGTTTCTTTGTTCTTCCATCTCGTCTTGTTTCTCCCGCAAGAGACGTTGAAACTTGTGATCAAACTCGGCTCTTAATGTTCCTAAATCTTGCATGTGCTCTTCAGTGCGTGTTTTGGACGCGTTCTGTTCTTGCACTAAGTCTTGAAGTTTTTCCATCAGCTTTTTTAGTTCTACAGAGTGTTTCTTATTGATTTGGTCTTCCCGTTGTTTAAATTGTCGTTCCAACTCGCTTTTCGTGAAGTCAATTTCTTGTTGATGAGCGTTTACAGCACTCTGCATCTCTTCCTTGAGACTTTGAACTTGATCACTGAGATCGTGGTTTTCAACTCTTAAAGACGCTAATATTACCTCGTAACCAAGCTTCATGCTTTCTGTATCTCCGTTTTCTTCGGGAGGCTCCCTTTCGGCAGACAATTGCTCTACTCGAGATGAAAGCTGAACCACTTCAACACCCATTTGTTCTTTCAACCTCTCACATTCCTGAGTTTTGTCCAGTAATTGTGCTTGGAGACGTCCAAACTCTGCTTCGTGCTGATCGTTAAAGGTACTCAACTCCACTTGTGATTCTTCCAATTTAAATTTCAATTCCTCGATCTCCGTTTCGCGCTCAGTTTTTGCCGTTTCCAGTTGCCGAATTCTTCCCTGCAGAGTCTCATTTATGAGCTCAATTTGCTTCTTGTGCTCACTTTCCAAAGCTTCTTTCTGAGAAACCATTTCTTTGTCATGCTGGGTTTGAAGATCGGCTTGGAAAGCGCTTTCAAAAATAAGTTGATCTTTAAGTGTTTCTATCTCCTTTTCATACTCCTCTTTGAGTTGTTCCTTCTCTTTTTGCACCTCTTGAATGTCATCTTTGACATTTTTTAATTGCGTTTGATACTGCTCTGACAACTTGGATTCTAATTCAATCAAATCAGCCTTGTGTTTCTCCACGAGGGAGTTCGTTTCGCTTTTGATCTCCTTCAGCTCCTTTTCCTTAGTGTCAACTTTCTCTACCAAGTCATGTTTTTCTTTCTCGTAACTTGTTTCTAAATTAGTGACCAGGGCTTCATGTTTGCTCGCCTGCTCTGTCATTAGAACTTCATGTTCCTCGTCCTTCAGTTGATTCAACTGCTCCAGATTTTCTACCATACCTTTCAAGGACGCTACCTCTGCCTCAATCTCCTCGCGGCTTATCCGGTGTTCATCCTCCATTTTGGCGAAAATGTTTTCATAATTTTTCTTCAGTTGCTCCGTAGTTTCGTCGTATTCCTGTTTCAGGTCGTTCTTTATACGTTCTAGACTGTGTACGTACTCCGAGCTCTGGTTTTCCATAAGCAGTTGCATCTCCTTCTCTAATCTAGATACCTTGTCTTTTTCTATACCGAGCTCATGGCCAACCTCCTTTATCGTCTCTTCGTGAGTCGCTATTGTGCTTTCTTTTTCCAACACAGTGCTGTCCAACTCTTGTACCTTGGTAATATGTTTGTTCATTTCTTCTTTGCTTTCCTCCAAAGCTTTCAGTGTAGCTGCTTTTTCATTCTTTTCATATATCAGCTCATCCTCCAACAGTTTTTTCTTCTCTTCAAAAGCTTCTACAAGTCTTTTCCTATCGGCGCAAACTTCGTCCAGCTTTCCTTCCAAATTCGCCCTTTCGCTACCAAGTTGTTCTAACAAGTCGGCAACTCTCTGTTGCAAGGCGTCTCTTGATTCCGCCTCAGTACTAAGCGTACTTTCAAGACTTTGAATTGACAAACCATGTTGTTCCT